ACCAGTCCAGATATATAGAATATGAAAAGTTTTCAATAAATCCTCAAATGATTTTTTCCTCTCTTTTTTACCAAATGAATAAGAGTCATACGCACAAAGAACTTACATCTCAAAATGTGGTAAGAGCAGAACAATTCAAGCATACCGTCGAGTTAGTGGGAATGTGTACATCATCACAACTACATGATGACACACAAAGTAGCAATTATTACCAACAAAGTCAGAAAAACAAGTTAAGCCATATAATGTAATTTTTCCTGCAGTCAATATATTATTTGTGTGCTATAAAGAAAACATAAGCACTTCGGGAGTTATTTAAAAATGTACATAAATAACTGCTGCCTTACCCTGTTCTTCCGTTGTAAAGTAAAGTAGCCCATGTTAAAGCTATTGCACATCCATCTCTGTTACCAGCTAAAGTAGGTGTCATATATATACCACCAGGCCATTCGCTGTTGCAAAAATACTGATGATGAAGCAACGAGGAGTCGCGGTACAATATCAGCGATGTCCCTAATACAAACAATTACTGTGATCCTTTGACTTATGAACAAACTAATTTATATGAACATTGAAACGCCGTGAAAAGTAAAAATAAGGAAGGTTAAATTACCATTTGGAGCGAAACCATATTTGTAGATATCACAAGAAATCGATGTAACACCAGGTACACGAAAATCGTATGATTTAACTGGAAAATCACATCGTTCCATAATAGACAGGATGAAACCACCAAGAGTTGCATCAACGTGCAAAGGAATATCATATCGTTGGCTCAGCTAAAAAAATACATTGAAAGTAATATCCAGTAGCCTACAAGAGTTTAGAAACTATGGAACGATCGCCTTACATTAAGTAAATTAATCAAGTAAATTAATTCACATTAATTCTCATCATAATTAAAACAGTAATGACTGCTTAAGCTATATTGTCTAGCAATGAACGCAAGGGCACATAACAATTCAGTATGAGACCGAAACAATTAATACCCTAAACTGCTTATTACTAGATAGTGAAAGCTTCACCAGAAAGTACCTCAGAAATCGCTTTTATGTTATCGATAGTACCGAACGGATAGTTCGGAGCTGATGCCACGAGCTAGAACAATAAATTAGAAATTTAAATATAATTATGTAAAATGTGTGACATATTTTAAAACTGTTATGAAAAATCCAATAGTCTGGATTTCCGAAAATTATAAATAACAAACATACCATACAAGTTTCATTACTGATAGCATACTTCATCGCACCTACATCAACCCGCTTGTTTTTATCAACAGGAATATGACGAATACGCATTTGCAATACTTTCGCTGCCTTATCGAATGCGGCATGAGCAGTTACCGGTACTAACATTTCTGGATGCCTAATTCCACGAGCAAACGCACGATTCCGATAAGCTAAAATGCTGATGCAAACTGCACATAACATTCAAAACTTTCGCAATTATGCTTTCTTTCCTAACTAGTTTTCCTTAAGTTACGACTTCTCTGCTACATCGATATTGAACTGAGCAAAAAAATTTTGGAACCTTAAATACTGATCACTGAATTTCTCGTCTTGTAAGAGTCGATGTCATCGACGCCACATTATACAGATGAAATTTAAACATCATATACCGTCAAAAAAATATTTTTACAATTATGACAAAAAACAATAGGATCCCTACTTTAATACAATAATGACTGATGGAAAGTAAAGAAAAATGGTTACTAAGGCATGCCAACATATTGCTTTCTGTATCATTGGAAGTAACTGTTCCACAAGAGCCAGGGCCGCCATGAAGAAGTGACGCGACAATGCGCACAATTTCCGCTTCCATTTTTCGACAGCCAGGAAAAACCTCAGGATATAGAGGATCCGAATATATGAACATCTCGAACATCTGTAAAAAAATCAATTTAGTGGGTAGATCCCATCAGGATTTTATTTCAAATCAAGAAGTAATCAAATAATTCTACTTGATAACCTTTCGCAGTAACGCTCGGTGCTCTTCATCGACATCTGCAAAGACCACTCCGGAAACGTGACCTTCATAAAAAGAAAATTCACTCATTGTTTTGTATAATTCTGCCTCATGAATTATATTACTAGTCGCAAGCCCACGCTCAGGCAAGAATTTGTAGAATTCCTGGAAAATATATCGCACTGAAATGGCAGAAAATTGTGAACTTCAGTGTATAACATCAAACGATCTCTCAAGGAAAATTGTTCAGAAATCTTCTGTTATCTTCATTTCCTTATACTTTGCCGCAGTATGATAATAAAAAAATATGAACAGCATAAAAACAGAGTTTTTGCTAACGTACCTTTCTCTCATCGTACTGATGTATCGACTCTTCAAAATCTTTTCTTGCCTTTTTCATTTCTTCTTTTATTTGTGCATTTATCCACGGTATCATGCGAAGTGCGGAAAAAATCTGGAAAAAATGCACAACTTAAACTACCATGCTTTTATTTAATGAAAACAAAATATAGGATTTCTTAATTGAAATTATAAACTGAGTGAAAACAAAGGAAAAGGTACCACAGCACGAATACGAGTGGGAAGAGGACGATCTCCTTTTAGTAGTTTTCGAAGCCAGATGAAAAAGCAAGTAACAGATAAAGTGTAAGAAACGATTTGCCAAGGTTCCAGATCTACACATGCCCGGTTGAATCCAACACGACTATCATCCACAATTTGTGCAACTAAACGCCAGGTGTATCCACCATCCAATGCCCACCATTCATCCATGTGAAAATATCGGAAATGCACGAAAACACTAGCAAATCTAGGAGACTGATGGAAATCGTCGTCTGAATTTCAGCAAACCTGCATAAAAATTATACATCATGTCGCATGATATTTTTTTGAGATTGTCAATGCATTGTGCTGCAATAATAAAATTTCCGTCTAACGATTTCCCTGGCATCTTCGGATAAAGCAACCCATCGAGGACTAAACCTTGATATCTTCCTGTAAATCTTACTTGCGCTGATAATAATAAATACAAGAGTTACATAGAAAAAGAAATAATATAAATCGAAGCAAATCAGTTCGATATATTCTAGTTGTTAGCAAATTCACGCTGCAGAATTACTTTTAATGTATCTATATGCCAAGTAATTTTTCTTTATACCAATTAGCTTTTTTTATCATTTCTGACGTGGCATTTACAGTTTTTAAATTATACTACGATATAGTAGCTCTCATGAATATGTCGTGACGTTACAAAACATCATTCCCAGATAGCACGATGTCAAGGAATGCTATATCAGGATATTACAAGCTGCAGAAAAAAAAACAGAATCAATTTAAAGAGGAAAGTACGACATTGGTGGTACACAGCATCCAAGTGCGAATTAGAGGAAAGTAGCTGAAGACGTAGTACACAACACCTCTCACACTTCATAACATCGCTAATGCTTCACCGGTCTGCCGTAAAATACTGCGAATGAATCTGAGCAGGGATTTGAATTTAGCGAGTGGAAGTTTGGTGATCTGGAAGTGGTGGCATAGTTCTGATACTACATCTGACTCCTAAAGCCCCTTGTTGGTGATCCCGAGAGTTCATGGATGTGAATGATGAAAGGCCATTGAAAGTTTCCCAATCAAGTGAGGGGTTAGCTTTTAAAAATATAAAACGAAAATCAAAATTCAAAGTCCCTACTGTTGCAAATACTTCATACTTGAAAATCCTGAACTGAGAATTCTTGACCTTATTTTGAACTTTCTCCCATATATTTTCAAACATTTAAGAAGAAAGTCGCAACGATTTAATCGTTTCTTCTGGTGCACTTTTAGGATGATAGATGAAGCATACGTACCCATTGTAGGTTTTTGTTCCCACTTACATATATTTCATCATATAATCTGCAAAGATCATCCTCGAACTTGTTTATTAGGTTGAGATGTTATAGCCTTACCTCATAATTAAGATAAAGAAATAGCACGTATCAGTCTTAGAAACCATGGAACAGTTGAAAGGCTTCTGAAGAATCAAAACCTTCATGTTTCCATTGGAAGCAACTTTGCACTAATTGTTACTTGTCAGATGAACTAATTATCAGCTGTGTCGGTAACAATTCATTCTGGTAGCCCACTTTTTTCATAGCAAGAGTCATTTCTTTCAGTTCGAAATTCACTATATATGAAGTACTTATTGGACTATTTGGCGTTATTTCATGAATGCAGAAGACGTGAAAGTCAAGTTACTTTCAAATTAAAACAAGCAATGTGAAATGAAGTGTCATCATCCGTGCAGATAGTTTCATCTCATTGCCAGAGGAGATACATCATGGTACTACACATTCCCTTCTCATATCATTTATTTCTCTCTCTGTTAATAGGGGGAACGAAAAGATGACAGATAGAGTAAACGGTTACGAAAGGATTATCATGATAACCGGTCACTCTGTCCTCCACAGCAACTCATTCCATCCAACCAACCTGCACCATCTCATAACTGACTGAAGCAGCGCAATGGAAGTACGAGCGCGCATGACTGAATGTCGTCAATAGTGGTTTTCGAAAGACCCTCTATGAAAATTGTTCGTGTCAGCGGGAGTCATTCATTTAATTATAGGTTGTATTTCGGTGCGGTGTGGTTGCAATAAGTTGTATGGGAGGCGTGATGAGCTGGAAGATGTCTTTTCTAATCGTATTACTGATTATAGTTTTAGCTGTAAACAATATTTGACGTATTCTACAGCTTCAATTCTATTTGAACTATTAAATTTGCCGTTTAACTTTAGGAGTACCTTTTTCTCGAATTCGCCGGACAGTTAGTATTTATTTTTAAACTCAACTATAAGTTCTATATGACCCTAATTATTTTTTTTATTTCCTATATGTACTTTCTAATGCTGTAAGTGGTACAAATATTTTCCAAGCGGAACATTCTATAATTTGTTTGCTTTATTGAGGAATTGTCAACCGTTACCATATTCTGACTTTTCATATTTTTGGTACTAATCGTGAAATTTTTCCTGCAAACTTAAATTCAAATAACAGGTATGGCATTACATGGACCGCCTGCAAGTGACGCTTTGGAAAGTGCTGCAAACTATGTACAGCGATTCATATTAAAAATCAGCGAAGATTCTGATTTGTACTACAAATTAAAGTACGACCCCTACCAACCAGGTCAGTTTCTTCTGTTCCATGCGATAGGCTAAATTTTACAATACTGTCTAATGTCAGATAATGTCAAGATACTGTCTAATGTCTGGTAAGCTGTGTGTGATAGTTTCTTATCGTTTCTGGAACATCGGAATCAAATTATTAGAAGATTGGGAAGATACGTATTTGTTGTAGATAAAGTAACAATATCTGGTCTTGCAACGGGAGATTACCAACCGCTGAATGACTTGGAGATACCAGAATTTGTTCACAGTCATTTGAAACCAATTCCGCAGGAAATGAAAGATCAGCTTAACAGTAAGTTTGTTTTTTAAGTACTGAATTTCTGTTTCTTGGTATATTTATTCCTTATCTATCGTCCTGATAAGTATCTTGACGTATTGGAATATTAGTGGAGGCTAGCTTCAGTCCGCATAATTCTTTATCATCCAATGGTCGATCATGCAGATGAATTCTATAGGTACACAAAGCATTTGTACAATGGGTATATTACCCGAAATTGGACGTGCTTATATGACAATTGATGCCGACTTATATGTTTGGAATTATGATGACAAGTGAGTTTCTTGCTTGTTTAATCTTTTCCTGAAGTAATTCTACTCTCAGACATCGAGTAATTAAACCAACTCCACTGAAACCGAAAGATCAGTTAGCTGTAAATTTGTCATATTCGTCATCATAAATTTGTCATTTTTGTTTTTCATAAAGAAGAATGATATAACGCCACTTTTTGAATAGGTTATATCAAAATCAGCCTGCGGAATAGTTTTTGGTCTCTCCTAACAAAGTGGGGTCTGAAGAGGAAAAAATTCCTTTATCCAATCTCCAAAACGACAATGCACATAAAGTTTCACTGGAGGGACTAATTTTGTTCCAAATTCATTTATAGTATTTTCGATACATTGTGAGGAGAATCTATTAGACCATATTTCATTAATTTTCAGTTCGGATTTAGCTTACTTCGACGGAATACCTAATACAATTACTAAAGTGGCAATCGCGAAACCGAAGGCCGGAGTGTTTCAGGTAGTTTACCGTAGTAGAGCGAATGTTAACCTAACATCCGAGCCAGAAGGTTTCGAGGTTCTTTGGATCAATTGAACTTAATCCAATTAAACTTAATTTGAAGTTTCACTTTCATTCCATGGTCATGTTGACGTAACTGTAAGGAAGAGCGCTCATCATATATTTGTTCGTACACATTTCGAAACAAAGCTGCCATCTTTTGTATTCTTTCGTTCTCTCCAAAACTTCTGTTCTTCAACTCTTAATTCTATAGTAATTCCAGAAACACATTCATTGCTTGGTTATTGTAGCGACAACAAGAGAAATTGTGTTGTTGGCAGCAAGTTTCACAAAAAATAATATAACAGTCGGAGATGTATCCTCTCTACCGGACGATTTCAGGCAAGCTGATATGTATCTCTTTCCAGATGCGCTTTTCAAGGTTTTTTTTTTTTTTGTAGTGGATAATTATAGTTATTTAATTCGTATTCTCAGCTATTCCTTTGTAACATTTTGTTAATGTATATTGCTTTTATTATTTCCAGCGTATGATATGTTACCTCAAGGACGTTTTGCAGCCATTACCAGACATTTTTGAGCAAAATTTCAACTTGAGAATCAAATTCTTGAAATAGTAGTACCGAAATTGGATAATTATATCTTCATTTTACTTTAGTTTCATTTCTTTCATCGTAAGAATAGGATCATAGGTCTGAAAGTTCCAGATTCCAATTGATGACACAACTATATCTGATATAATTGCAACATCAAATGGTCGTATTTTTTTCACGGAAGAGGAAATTTTATATGAGCTCGATTATCAGGTCTACAAATTTTAGGATTAGTACCTTAGATAGTGTCACTTTTCTTTTTAAATATTGAATTCACTGCACGTAATCTTTTCATTTTAAACTATTGTGTATATCTTTCTTACATATTTATTTCCGTCTTTAATTTTCTTACATATTTATTTCCGGTTGAAAGAAGTGGAACAAAGCTTATTCCTTTTTTGAAAACTTTGCGCGTTTTTCAGGACAAAGGCTGGTTCAGTCGTCGATGTCGTAAGATAAATCATTCCAAGAGTTTCATTAGTTATTTTTTACCTTCTGTATCTTTGATTACAGGGAAAGAAGGTAAGATGTCACTCAGTCATCGCGTGTTTTTTGAGCTCTTATTGTAATACTTGGTCATATTTTATCTCCATTAATAAGTTTTTAAAAAAATTTATTGTAGTGGTAGTTTTATTTAATAAATTTAATATCTTCTATGATTTCATTCGTGTTGTTCAATTATTTTAGAGCTTGACTTACACGATTGGTGAGAAGAAACAGCGAGGAAATGAAATTTCGTGATAATGATTTGCATTTTTAATAACATGAATATTTTAGAGCGGTTGGTACGACTATGTTTAGATGATACGAGGCATATTTTATACAGTCTTTCTGAAAATAGTTCCATACAGGTTTATGATTTACGTGCTGACGGAAATTCAATAGTAAAGGTGGCATCGCTCAGCCATGGGCAAATTCAGGTTCAATTTTCATATTAATTTATTTGATTTAGCAATGTGGCTTTTTTGTAAATGCATCCGATAATTGTGCGTTCGGAAATTTCGAATCGAACGTTAGGTGTCATAATAATCTTCAGCCTAATCAAACAGAATGTTTGATAGCTGATGCTTCAAAATATATTATCAGGGGACATGCAATCATCACACCCCGTTGACACCCTGCTTAGAATAACTGACTGGATGTCATAATCTTTGCAGGACAATTTGTTTTAGTTGTCATAAATGATTTAAATCTAGGAGCTTGCTGCAGCAGAATGCCGATCCGTGGATGCTTCTTTTTTTGCTGACATTGTGGGCATTAGTGCAGTACCTTATACGCAGTCCCGATATCTGCATCTTGTACGTTGTAAATTCATCATTATGCTAACCGAACTTATATCAATGTTTTAAAAATTGAGAACTCCTTTGCATTGTTTTGAGGAATACTGTTGAATTTCTGAAACCTTTCGAATGGATGATTTCATAAAGCTGATGCGTTTCTTGGAACCAACTGCTTCAACTTTTTTAGATGTTTTATGCTCGACAATTTGTTAAGCATTAATTTCTCATTCAAATTTTGATTTATATTCAGATTGCGACAACAAGGAAGGGTGTTCGTTTATTCTTTAGCTGTTTTCCACCAACACCAAAGAATGCTTATCAGATGGCTTCAAAATCGTCCGTTACGAATTGGATGGTGTGCCTCTTCTCTGCTTAAAATTCAAATTCATGGAAAGCTGTACTTAATTTACAAAAAAAAAGTCGACTGATATGCATTTTATGGAAGCTCTCAATGTGTTGTGAGGCGTTGTTATGTATTCGAATGGTAAAAATCAAAATTTTAGGAAGGCATGAGACCTAGTTGCTTACGCTTGAAACACGTTCGTCTACCTCCAGGATATGGTATTTCACCGGTATCCTTCCACCCGCTTTCCATTTACGATACTTTTTACTCTCATGGTATATATTTTTTTAATTTTAATTCCTTACTTTTTATTTTTTCTTTATCGATATTAGGGAGAAAGGGATACAATATTGAGCAAAAAAATTAGTCCCTAAAAAACTGAGTTATTTCAATTCAAGTTAATCAGTGAATACTATACATTTAAACACTATAAATTTTATAGAAATTGGTATTATGGCTGGCGAAGCTGGTGTAGATATTTCCAATCTTTCGGTTTTTTGCTCGTCAAACTTTCCAGCTTCTGAATGCCTTATAGAGAATGTGGTTAGTTTCATTTCTATCACTGCTAGTTGCTGTAACTCTCTACATCCCGTTTTTATTCTAAAAATATTAGCAAAGTTTCTGTGTTCATATAACTGGAATGTTTCCTGAAGTTTTTCAGTTATAAAATTCTTAGCAGTTAGCTTATCAATTCTAAATTTTTTTGAGTGAAATAAACTTATGATTGTGGTAAGTTAGCTTTTGTCGTAGTGTAGTGAAATCCACCATTTAAACAGAATTGCTGCTGACTTGTTGAATATTAAAATCTTGCAAATATATTTCAGACACAGTTACGTCTAAGAAGTTTGGTAATGACAATAACAAAAGCTGTATCTAGAGCACCATTTTCCGTACGTATACGTTCTTTTTTTTTTTTTTGTAAATACTTTTTGTGCTTTCTTAGGAGTCGAAACCTTTTTCTTGTCAAAATTTATAAAGATGTATTTGTGTTTGTCGTATTTCAGATAGCTACAGCTTCTCGTCACTCAACAGATCTTTTACTTTATCGAGATACATCCGGAAAATTTATTATTTTATGCGAAAAGGTATTCATTTTATGTGAATTTTTTTGCATGTGGGATTAGCATACATCAATAGGATAACTACAGGAAGACTAAAACTAGATGACTGAACAGCTAGAATTTTTCAAAGCTAACGTTTTGGTGTGGTTATTCTAACAGTAGAGGATTATACTGAATCAGATGTACTTCCAATTTTGATGACCTACTGCTTAGTTGTCTGCAAATGATTGTCTGCATGCTTCTAAAGGAAATTGAAATTCCAGGGAATACAAATTGTTGAACATCGTGCTCCCGTTGATATGTTGCGTGATATTCTTCTTCAATTCGGACCTGATTCACCACATGCTAGCTATTTCACGCAGTTACATGGATTGGTTAATGTTGGCGACATGATTCTCACAATTCTTTGCACCGAGTGCGGATCAAGCAGCGCAGTGAAGGTTAACTATGTTCAGTCACCTTATTAAAGAAATATATTTGTACTGTCCAGCTTTTTATATAGGAACGGTGTAGGAATCAGGGATATGTTTTTTGGAGAAATAGTTGACTGTTTTCAGGATGCGGCGTTACGGCTGTTTTTCATGCTGAGCGGTGAAAAGATCTGGAGCAAACATTTGGCTTCACCTTTCCGTACGAACAGTTTGAGCCAATTGTCAACCCTTGACGAATCACTTTCTGATATTTCTCTGCAGATTCGCTGTGAGTTTTAATTCTGGGGATAAAGTACATTTTCCCAGATGAAGACATCCTCAATTTTCTGGTTTTGTTTTGCCTAAGTAAACATTATAAAACAGGAACATTCTCTATTGAACTCATTGAGTTAGAGAGTTTCGTCGGGATTTGCTATGCGGATTTTAAGGGTGTTGAAACTGATGGTAGTGGTTTAGAATTTTCATATCCTTCATTCGAGTTAAGTTTTAGCTAATAATTCAATTATTGAAATTTTGTTTTTCTTTTAAAATGCTCCGGAATATCTGACGCTGTTATAGCTCCACTGTTCTCATCCACTCCGCAACAACCGAAACGTTTTTTTCGTCCGGCAAGAGAATCTTTTTCGGAAATGCAGCATGTATTAAGCAGCAAAGAAGCTTCTTCGTCCACCGAGATTCAAACATACGTATGCTAATTTATTAGCCAAAAATCTCTGGCAGGAAACTTCTTTGACTTTTTGTTCTGTGATTCTTGTATCCTTTACTCACAAGTCCAACTTAATAAAAATTTCGAACCAAAAAAAATTTTTTCTCATTAATATATGTTGATGGAGCCTCATAATGACTTTTGGATCGCAGGTATCGATGAGTTGTCGACATGATGCGTTATTCCTTCATTTTTCTCGGATTATTGAAAATTTATGGACCAAACCTTTATGCCAGTTGCTTCCAGACAACAAAGTATTTGACATTTTTTAATGTTTTTATTGATACTCCATCATTCATTGTTGAATTTATTGGAATATAAATCTTTAAAATTAATCTTTGATTGTGTTTTTATTTCAGCTTGTTAGTATGTATTGCGTTGATGAGCTAGAATGGTTACTACATCAGCTCACACCATTCAAAAAGATCATCGAGGACTATGAGTTAATTGGAAATGTTCAAGAATATGTTCAGCCACTCATAATAGATGGCGACACTTCAAATTCTCGCACTGAAGGTACTGGTTTAGAATTTCGAAAAAAAAAATGAAATGAATAACTAATAACTTGTTCGTAATGCTACAGCTTTATGACTTATATGGATTTTTACTTTTTTGTTTGGTTGGGTATTGTTTGCAATTGTTGATATTGTTTCAGTGGCATCGCATTCCGAACGCCGTTCATTACTCAGTTTCCGTCAACTTCTATCGCTTACTGCGGAAGTGTTGATGTTATGGAAAATCTTATGCGAACATCAGTTCCATGTTATAGCAACCCTTCTCAGTACACAAAGTCGAAGCTGTCTAAGTGCCACAAGTCTCTGCAATATAGTGTTGAGTGGTCAGCAGGTGAGAGTTCTGATTAATTAACCACGATTACCAAAGTGATCTGATCGTTAAGAAGAATACGATTTCTGATGGCGGCATTTATCATACACTGAATACGACTGTATGGCTATTAATGGTATTTAGAAAAGATCAGATTTTGTCATATCTAATTCACAGTGCAATAGTGTTGCAAGAATTAAGGCTGGACAAAATATTTCAGTTTACTAGCTTTGAGAATATCACTACTTTTTTAACTCCACATGACTGAATATAAGATTAATTATACTGATTTAGCTGTGTGCCGATTTGATAACTTGTCTAATTCGGCATTATTTGGGTGATAATGCAACAACGACTGTGTTATGCAATGAATTGCGTGATTGTTGTCCCTCACTTTTTTCTGTGGATGATGCTAATACAACGAAGGTAGGATCAATAGCGTTGCAGTGTAAATTGCCAGCGAAAAGTTTTTTATTGAATATATCTAAATAATAGGTTCTGTAGATATATGTAAGGAAAGAAACAATTTCTGTTATTGTTGATCGTTAATTGCAATTCAGTAATTATAGGCGACTAATAGAGGAAGTTACTTTCGTAATCCACAAACTCTTTTTTACGTTTAATGTTATCGCAAATAAGAAGTGCATAGTTGCAAATCATTGAATTTCAGGCGACAGAAATGATTGAGGGAGTGCGTCGTTTACCGCCATGTTCGGCACGAACAGAAATATTGGCAGAAGCTGTTAAACTTTTAAAAACGGGGATTCAAAAAATCAATTTGCCAGTGATTTGTCAGCTTCTCTACGAAGGTAGAAACAGCTTGTCTTACTGGTTTGTATGATGTGCTTTTATATCCTTATTAGCTCCTACTGTAGAAAACGTGAATCACAGCTTACTGAAGCAAATTTATAAGGCTTCCCACTTTTTACAGTGTTATTCTCTTGCTGAGTGTTTTTTATTCTGCATTTTGGCTTTAAAAACCTAACCAATAAATATTAAGATATAATGTGATTCGTTTAGCTGATGAATGGGAAAAAAGATTTGATCCTACTAGTTTATATCATATAGCTGCTTCTAGGAAAATGATAAAAAAAGAAAGAGTATTGAGAGTATATTGCTTTCGCTTTTTTTCATAAAATTTTCATGATGATTTTTTCTCGATTAATGTTCCCAACGTCTTGTTTGTTTCTATGGTAATATGTAATATGTTTTAGTGGATTATGTGGAAGGGATAGTAGATTTGGCGTTGGAACGTGCGGAACGTGATGATACAAAGTTACTGGCTGTAATGGCTTATAAAAATCACTGTGGAGAAAATGATGTCTTTGCACAAGAGGCATTTGCGAGAAGGTTTCTTTATTTCTTTCAACCTTCAACTTTCTGTCTTCTCCACTTTAATTTAATTGGAAAGTTTGCAGAAAAGATGCATACAAGTGCATAATCGACACTCTGGACCATTTAGTGAATGATCAGAAAACTGCGGGTACGTTAGATCTACTTAATCCATCAAAGGATCTCATCATCCAAAAAGTTCTGGAATCGAAAGATGAACTTGCAAATGTGGCCATTTTTAAATGGCTTTTGGATAACGATTTTAGCAGCGTTGTTTTGCAGGTTATCCTTTCACTATGTTATGTTTTTCTCTTTCAGCCATCAGAGTTTCGTTACATTTTAATTTACAAAAAAGAATGGTGAAGAAAAATCTATTTTGAAGGTAAGTAAGCTATTTCCACGAAAGAGACAGAAGCTATTTTCAACTTTAAATTTATTTCAGAGTAAATCTCCATTCCTAGAATCATTTCTTCATCGTTGTGTAGAAGAAGGTGGCTCAAGTCGTTACTTAGATCTTTTATGGCGATTTCATGAGCGCAACGGTGATCATGTAAAAGCAGCCAGTCTTTTATACCAACTTGCTCAACGCGAAACGTATGCTTTTCGCATTGTTCAGTTCCATAGTATCATTTTGATAACTTCTTTGCAATATTTTCGTTTTAGGGATGTATTCGATATTCAACGTCGTGTTGCATATTTGTCGCAAGCTGCAATGTGTGTTCAGTCAGCAGGTCCGCAAGTTGATAGAGATGCTAACTTACATGATCTGGTAGTAGAAATACGTGATAAACTCGATGTTGCGCAAATTCAACTTGCTACAAGGTCAGTTAAACTAATATTGTCTTGTAAAATATTTTATTGTTATATATGACTTCCACTGGGATTGCACCTTTCATCTTATTAAAATGGTGAACAAGGCTTATAGTTCTCATCATTCCATCTAATGCAAATCGGCACTGCTGGAGCAATTCTGAATTTCATAATTCATTTTTAAATCTCTTTCATGTATCGTTGGCACTCTTATATAAAGGAGTATTAATTAATGATTAATATGGAGACAAAAATTAGGGATTTGGTACAATCGATGCCGCGAACTCGTGAAACAGTTACAGCCAAATATAGTCTTGAAAAGCAATTATATACGGTGCAAGAACTTTTTGAAAAATTTGCTGTTCCGTTGGATTTGCCGGAAATCAAGCTTGCTCTTTGTTTTTGTTCTTCAACTTATGATGAAGATGCTATCGAAGATTTCTATACTGAAATAATTGACAGAGGTTATTTCTTTAAAAGTCCTAAAATCTGTTAAATTAAATTAGCTTTTCATTAATTTTTCAGCTCATTTGTGCAAATTTAAAAGCGGGAAAATGAAGAGAAGGGAACGACACTCATTCTGGCTGATGCCTTGTTTTTTCTTTTTTTTTATGATATATTAAAAATTTATATGTATAATGCGAGTTGTAATTGGCGAATAAGTTTTTTTTAAGTTTCATAAAGCCTAACAATTGTCTTTTACTAATGATTTTGTTTTATAGAGTTGTTTTCATCTGAAGGCGAATCGCGTGAGGTACGCATTCAGCGTCTAGGTGCACGAATAGCTAGTTTAGCGACGAAGTATTCGCTAGTACCAAAATATTATCCTCTCGGTAAGTTTTATGATGATTCTAATGTTGGAAGAAATGTAGTTCTCAAAATGATTTCCAAAAACGATGGGATTTTGAGGTATTCTGGAATTTGACGGGTACGTAAGCGAGAAGAAAGACTAAAACATGTTATATAACCTGTTTCTTATTTTCCAGACAGCATGAATAGAGTTGTCCTTCATTTTATTGATGTTATTATTAAGACCTAGTAGATCTATATTGAAAATAAGGCTGAACTGATTTTTATCTGGTACACTTATTGGTACTCATTTTTTATTTTTTTGATATGTTTTTCAAGCGTGTACACGTTTTCCAATTCATGTTGTTTACTAGAAACATTGGAAATATGTTCTTTTTTCTTCTTGTAAAGGTGATTTGTGTTTATTGTTGTGTTGAATGTAGTATCGTTTCAGAGATGATACTGTCGAAATTGTTGAACAGAGGGATGCGCGAAGGTTTCTCACCTTCGTTTTTCCATTTCATTGGTACAAGAATCGATGCACCATTAAATGCTATGGTTGATACATTGTCGAGTATGTTCAGGTAAAGTTTTATATGTTTTTTCAGCTATCCATTATATCCATTTTTAAGCATAATAATATCAGCGCAGTTAACGTATAACGTTCTGATATGAGACAACTAAATTTTTGCAGGAGGGATCCTTTTTATCAGAAGAATGATACAGCATCTCGTTACTTGATGCGGTCAGCATTACATGTCATAACAAAATTTGTGGAGAATTCCTCTTCTGTTTATCACCAATGGTAAGATTTGTTGGTATCACTTTCACATTAAGTGTATACGTCTTCCTTCTGTTCACCATTTGGATAAGGCATTTGGCTGAAGGTACAAGAATAGTACTTAATAGGAGAATTAAGTGAGCAAAATGATATAAGTTCTAATTAAGATTCACTTCACTGCAACTTTTAGAGCATTTATTGGGATAATAGTTACTGGTAGTTTATATAGATAATATATTTTGCGGTCTCCGTTACCGAATTTCATGTAATAATTGTTTTTGTTGCAGCAGGACAGCATTGGCTAGCAAGTGTTTAGATTTAATAGCTGCGTTTTTGATAAGTCTTTCGCAGGCACAGTCCACTGTTTCTGACCAGAAAAAACTCACCGAAACGTTCAAGTCCTTGCAGAATATGTTGGAGAATATATGAACTTTACCGGTGTTTTTCAGCCGCGATCGTTTGTTGTTAGTTTGTTCCTTTGTGTTTTTCAGTTGTATTGACTTGGGCCAAACATCTGTGTTATCGCGGTACGAGATAACATATAAGGCGAGTACTCTGCTTTATTCAAGTAAGACAGAGTGGAATTTCAGATGTCTGGAAGGGATTCATTCATATTCTTCATAGACTGAAAAAGTCAATACAAAGGTTTTAGATTGTTGAAAATTGAGCTAAAATTTTAACCGCAGATTTGCTTCCTGATTTTTTAATTGGCTCTGTTTTTTTCTGATTTTATTTTGATATAAAACTTCATTTAATTTTCGAACGATTTATAAATACTGAAAAAATTTGGGCGAATTTTGTAAACATAAAAGTTTCGCGTAATTCAAGTTTCCATGGTTTTGTTAAGCTTAAGAGAGAAAGTCTTTAATTTTTAGAGAGTTGGATTAACCAAAAAATCCAAAGCCATTCTTTTTGAAATATTGATCGATTTTTAAGTTCGTACGCTACATTAACTTCTAAGTCGGTAGATTAGCTTCCACAAAAATTTTTTTGAGTGCTTTTTAAAGTGAACGAATTAAATAGAACTGAAGATCAAATTGTGTTGAATAGGAACTGATCTTTATACTGTATTGTAATTCATATGGATGTCGAAAGATTATATATTTATTAAATTTCTACAATTATACTATTTAACAAACGTCTCAGTAGTTTTTTAATGTTTCCTTCCCGACTTATTGTTTTGTTCCACTTAATTTATAGAAATGTGCCAGGTTAAAAAAAACAGTTTCATAGTTTTTTAGGATCTAGATCATAGAAAACACGAGATGAAATCTGAAGTTTTAACGATGGAACCCTTAGATGGACTGATCCTTAGTAATTCGATTTTATTGTTATTGATTTACTGCTTTTGTTGTTTTTTTGACAAATGTTAGAGAAGAGAGGGTTTTGATCATATCTAATTAGGTCGAAATTATCATTTTCATACTGTAATCTTATATATTTCCAGATTAAGCTATTGTTGAATTTTATTTTTGTTTTTTTCTCTGGCATAACTGCTACTTCGAGAATTGTATACCAGTAATTTGAGAATTTATTTTGGCAATTATGTCGTATTACTTGTGATAGGTTTTTCCCAAATAAAATTTTGCGTATTTAAAATTAAACTTTGCGTTGGATGGCCTTTCGAGTTTTCAATGTACACAAACAAGAAAAAAGGATTATTATATTTAGTCTTATATGATCGGTGAGAAGGGAATGTCGTGACGGGAACTTTTTTCTGGTATTTAGGTTCAATAATTGAATAGTGGGAATGGGCGGACATTTTACCTGAGGCAAATTGTCAGTTAATAAATCATTCGTGAATGTCTTTCTACAAAATAGACATGGAAAGTTTTATCCTTGTGCTAGTTGATTATTCGCCGTCTAAAAGTTTTGATTTATCATTAACCTATTTTGCTCTATAATTTGCGTAATTAGATAATCTCCGATAGCGCATCTACGAATTACTGTTTTAATGATAGGTTTAAATTTTGCATTCTTTTGTATTGGATTTTTATTGTTGCCAATGACATTATCAATTGTTGAACAAGTGATATTGGATGTACAAATTCATTGATGTTGTTTTGGATGTACAATTTATTGATGTTGTTTGTGCTTCCCCTTCCATAATTATAAATAATGATCTGCTACAGAAGAGTGAATGGAAGAGGAAGAGAGGGTATAGTGGATTGTCCTTCTGCGGTAATCAGCAAATTTGCGATGTAGTATTTTCATATACTCAGAACGGAAGAGATAGAGGATAGGTAAAAGAAATATTTTAATCATTCGAAATTGTTTCGATCGTCTTTTTCCCTATCTTAGATTCCAATATTTTTTACATTATTTTATCGTTATAACATTGCTTATTACATTATTTTCCTCATATTTCTTGCTATGAAATCGCATAAAATTGTAAATTAATGATATCATTTGAAGAAGAAGAAAGTATTAGATGAGTGGAATGTTCACAGGTAAGATTTAATCTGGTTGATTTCGGTAATAAAGATTATGAGATGGTGAATTAGAAATGTTCAAATCCAATAACATTCATAAAATTCAAATCATTCTTTCCAAATTTTTGTTGTTAAGAATGATAGAAGAAAATGAAAGAGAGAAAAAGAAACTTTCCAAATTTTTCTGTTAGATGCATTTAACATTTTTCAAACCTAACAATAGATCCTTTAAATGAAAATAATGAATAAAGCAAAAAAATAAATAAATGGATAGAAAATATGTATTTGCCGACAGCATAGTCAATCTATGCATTCCTTCGTTAAGATTCAACGAGAAATGAACGACGAGATTCCACGAGAAAGTTAATTAGTTTTAATAGCTAATTAAAAAAGTTTCTGAATGAATTCTATGCATCTTAAATTTTGCTAATTTCATTACAAAAATTTTTTTTCTATTTTAAAAAAATTTTTCATCTCTCCAAAAATATTCTCTTTCATCGAATTGAGAATATGCACACATTTCCTATGTTATTGTATTGACAGCTTTTTTCGTATCGATTGATTTCTTCTTTTGTTTGAAAAAGAATATGATATTACATTTCATTTTGACATTCATTGATGAAGTATTCTAAAATTATCATTTTGTTTAGTCATTAATCATTCATTCTTTTCTACATAATATTTGGCATTCAAATCTGTTGGAACAAATTGTTGGTTGTAATTAAGCGCAGAAAATGATGCTGTATATTAGGTAACTAAGATTAATAGATTCGAATAACCTTTTAAAAATTAAATGAAATATTTGATCACTGATTTGATTTCCTTTCAAGCAATTTACATGGAGAAGATTTTATTGTTTGATATTGAAATGTATTCTTGCTCTCTTCTGAGGTTGTTCCATACGGTTGAGGAGAATTTAAATTATAATTACAATAACATTTCATGCCACCTTTTTTTTTCCTTCATTTGAATATTTATTTTTTGATTATTTTAAAAGTTTAAAAAGGAAATATTTCATTGATATGTGACAGATAATGGAACAGAAAAATAGCTCAAAAGATTAATTGATTTCGAATGATTTTAATGACAACAAAAAATTGTGAATAATAGCTTTGTTCGCTGTTTTGTCTCCTTTGTACCGACCGTGTTCCAGGTCGTAATGCAGTTTTTTTCTTTAAGTTTAAATAAACACTGAGTCATGAAATGGTGATAAATGTATAAGACATTGGCGGTTGAAAAAGTATTGCAAAGGAAGTGACAATCTTGAAAATGAAAAATATAATGATCAGTAATTGACAGTTGACAATGACCAATTGAAAGCAATCATAAGGGATGTCTTATTGCAACAATGTTAAAAATTTTCGAAGAATTTAATCTGTTCGATCTTCCCGTTCGTTGCTTGTCATTTTAAGCAAATTAGAAATGTAAAGATGTCCGATGTGTTACTGTACCATGAACTAATCTAAAAAAATTTTTTTTCCCACTTCAAGTGATTTTCTTTCGTCTTACGCAACAACAACGGATCGTTTCTCGGTCAATGATCGATCTGTTACCGATCTGATTTACTCAAAAATTTCTGAATTCCAGCGAAACAATTATATTCAAAAAAATATTCAACATATCGATTGAAAATTTCAATGCCTTTAGTTGGCATCGGACAATAACAAATGAAAACAATTCTCTACGACAACGTCCGGTCACGTATTGGCCAATTAAATGAATTAGCCTATGAATTTATTCGCTATTCATCTGATCTCTCCTACAAATAACTACTGTTTTTTCAATTATTTCGATAATTTTTTATAGAAGAAATATTTAATCGCAATATATAGGCTTTTATATTACAATAACAAACAAATTTACTTCTTGTTCATAAAAAATGAATTAATTGCCAGTAGTTTCTACTGTCACTAATATGGATATATTAAAACCTATTTACAATAATTTGAAATTTATGGCTCGAAAATGTAATTGTCTTCATACCAACAACATATGCATTTGACAAGAAAATTATTTTTAACGTCTGAGCTAAAAAGAAAGTGATGTATATTCGACACATTAAATGATTAACTTTTTTTTTCATTGTTTATTTTCTCACTTTTGCAAATTCTCATATAGTTATTTTGAGAAAAAGAAAAATGAATGAATTTGCATATTTTAAAATTTACACCTTTTAAAGAAATCATTTTCGCCATCTGTGCAACATTGTTAGGAGCAGTAGCATAAAACCAATTCGCCTTTCTAGATTAATGACTAGTGCTCCTATTGATAATAAATGCATTCCGAATTACTGCAAACTGTTGCGAAAAAATGAGTTAGAACGGTGTTTCTGGATAAACGAATATGTTCATACTGGTTATTTACCACCGTATCTATCCGTAATGCAATATGTGAAATGGTTGGTAATAATCAAATTATTCTGTATACAATTTTAATTAATTGATTTTGATAAACTTTGATTATCTCGCAACATTACAATCATCCAAAATTAAGTTAAAATTTTTTAAATCTTTCGTAATAATTAAGAATAATTATAATGCATATTTTCATTTTAATAAAACAAACGCTTTTATTGTTATGAAAATATATTATGATAATACATATTTAATCAAATAATTTTATGAATTAAATTTTAATTGATAGTATGATAGTATTTGTAAGAGTAAGAAGTGAAATTATTTTTTACAAGTTATAATAAACTTTTATAATTTGAATCACATTGTTGTTCAATTTTTAAATCATCACCATCATAGCAATCTTCAGTATCAATTAATTCATTTAATTAGCTACCAATTAATTCATTTAATCAGCCAGCAATCATTGCTATTCAATCTTTAATCAATTCACTTCCTTAATGAGGTAAAATGAAAGAAAAAGCGATATTAAATTTATAAATTTCAAAACATTCCGTTTAATCTCAAATTTTCAGGATATTTCAGTGGAATAATGAAACAATTAATATATGGTCCCATCTGATCGGCTTCTTCTATTTCACATGGCGTCAATATGAAACAAATGTTTCTATCTTACCTTCATCAAATGCTAATGCAAAAGATCACATCGTTACTACAGTATGTTTGCTTGGTTTACAGGTAAAACTAACTATTATTTACTCTTTGTTCAAATTATTTTTTTGTTATCTGATTACTTTATTGACTTAACAGATAAGGTAGGATTAGACAGAAAGAAAAATTATTTATAATAGAATGGATGAAAATGAAAATGAAATGGAAGCATCTGTTTAACAAGGCAAATAAATTACCGGTTAAAGATAATGATAATTAATGAATGATTTTTTTTTTCATCTCAGTTTGCAAGATAAAACTACATTTAATTAATGTGATTACGTTCACTTTAGCTAAGATATATTGTTAATTGATGATTAAAAAAAAGAAATATCCATTCTCTTCAAATTTTACTTTTACTTAATTAAAATGTATGAGATCATGTTTTAATAAAAAATAATATTCGATAGCAATAGAACTGAGAAAAAATTGCAATTGCAAGTATGTAAAAAGATAATTTAAATTATTACATATGTCAACCAACAAATAAAATATTATTAATAATTATCGTTGAAAATTACTTTATGAAAAATTAAGCAAAAAATAAATAAATAAATGCAAGTTTAATTATGATGAAAATAGTATTGCTGCATGAAATATAATATGATGATATTCTAAAGCTTTTACAACTTCGAAATATTTTTCTTGATGTTCAAAAATTTGTTGATATTCTAAAATCTTATGGATTAATTAAATACATTCATTCAGATCTTTATTAATTTTTTTATTTCAATTTCTAAAAATAAGAATTGAAATAATTTTTAAGCCTTTTGCATACAGTTTATTTTCATTCATTGGCATTAGCAAAATTTGTTAAATCATTTAGACATGTATGCTTTTATCATCATTATATCATATCTTCGGTTCAATAAGTCTTGAAGGAAGACGTATGTTATTACGGCTTGATATTTTTGGTATATCATCCGGATTACTTAGCATGTATTTGATAGGTATTTATACCTCATTCTTATGTTTTGAGGTTTGTTTTGTTTCAAAACTTCATCTCAAACTGATTAAGTTTACATGCGATATATCAATCAATTATAAGAAATTAAAATAATTGAAAGAGGTTTTTTAAAAGAAATAACATATTGCAATAAAGATTAAAATGTTTATAAGTAATTATATCATTGATACCAATTTTGTATATTACAATAAATATACTATCAAAAAAGTTTGATCATATCGTGAATAGATAAATTAATTTTCTCGAAAATTTAACACAAATTTTTTTATTTATAATTTGACGCTTATTAAGTTGCACAAACAGGCTTATTTGATAGCATAATTATTGAAGTTTGTTTGGCTAAGAAGAAATTTACATGCGAATTTCATAACTTTAATTTGGTTTTCTGGCTTAATCTTTAATCTTTCTCAAACTTTAATCTTGAAAATTACCGGAAGCAAACAATACATTGTTCGTTTTTACGGCAACTTTACATTCAAAAAACCAAAATTAAAGCTCGTCAAAATATATTGAATGATATGATATGATATATGATATATGATATATGAAGTATAAATTACAGAAAATATAATTTCTAATAAATTTTATTGCTTTTCATTATTTCTAATTAATATTAATAAATCATTTTTTGATAATTTAAAGTTGAAAAATTTTTCAAGCAAACAAATCATATTTGTATAATAGCATAATTCTTCAATTTATAACCTATCATCATAAAATATTTCAAATGATAAACTGGTTTAATTAGCAATACATATGATGAAGCTGGTTTTTGAATATGGAACGTGAAGCTATGCATCTTATGATTTAAAAAGCATCTTATTAAATGTATCGGTAGATAATATCGAAAATATTTATACAAAGGATTTAAAATTACATAGCAAAATAATAATATATATATCAATTGCAAAGATATACAATTTAAAAATATTAATGGGAAAAAAAGAGATAAATAAACATTTATTAGGACAAATGCGCAATCTATTTGCTCAAAATAATGGTGACATTTAGAACAGTTAGAATTTTTTGACCTTGTTAAATATATTTCATGATAACCGTTGAAATTATTTTCATCGATAGTAATTCAAATAATTAATTGTTTGTAGTAATTATTTGAAGGAATGGCAAAAGCGTTACCTGGCTTTTTTATTTGGAATATCACTGATAGCAGCATATTTACCGTTCAGTAATAATATTAGTGAAATGCCACTATTCCGTTCTCAAATAAGCTATACTAATTTAACTTATTTGATTATTGTAACATTAAGTTTTGCACCGGCATTTCATTGGGTTATACTGCATGGTGGCATTGGCAGTGATCATGTCACGGTAAGTTTTAATGAAGTTCGTTAGATAGAATTTTGTTTCTTTCTGTAGTAATTCGACGAAATAAATTCTTTAAGAGTTGATAAGTTTCCTTTGTTTATCTATCATTTTATGATATTAGCTTTTTGTTAACTTTTTAGAAATGGTTACCAAAACTTCTTGTTTTATACGGAACATCAGGATGCGCATTTTTGTTTTATATTTTGATGATTCCAGAAAGATTAAAACCGGGTAATTTCTTCTTTTTACTTTTAAGTATTACTAATAACTTAATTAGCAAGTAAATTGTCATGCTTAATAGGGTGAATTTAATGTGTTTCAAGGAATTGCCGTATTCATGTATCCGGTGTACAATTAGACTATTACCGAAACGATTAAATAAATTGCAGGATATAGACTGAAGTGAATTTAAATCAAAATGTTATGATTTTGCTATACATATTCCGATTTATTATCATCTTTCATTGAACAAAATTTTTAGGTGCCTTTGATTGCGTAGGAAATAGTCACCAATGGTGGCATATACTAATCTTTACGGCAATGTGGTATTGGCAAAATACAAATCTTGATTATTTGGCATCTTATCACTCATACGGAAATTATTGTTTAATTTATAATCATTTATCAAATATTACTTCTGCATATTAATTTGTGCAGAACATTAATCGCTTAAACGATTTATTGGCAAGAAATTAACTTTTTTGGATTAATTACTGTTTTTTATGCATATTTTTTATGCATTTTTATACATAACATTATTTTAAAGTGTGACAGAAATCAATCGATTGATTAAACAAATTAATCACTAGCTGTGATAATTATATATTTGTAGTGATAATAAGCTAAGTTGTGATATAAATTAAAACAAGTAATAATAACTCGAAATGCTAAATTCAAAATTCAAAATTTGTGTAGATATTTTGGAATATTCTTTTTCTACTTATCATCAAAATTTAATTAAATGAATCAAATTTTAATTGCATTTTATTTTTTCATTCTTAAAATGTTTCAAAGAAATCATTTCAATTTGTTAAAAATTTTTTGATGCAATAATTTACCTTTTTGCTTCATTTTCATCTGTCACTTTTACATCTATCATCATTCTTAAAGTATGTTTGTTTATATTCAATAATGTGTTGCATTAATGAAATTTTCAAAAAACAAAAAGAAGGTTAATTTTGATGATTGATAGATAAACTATTTGGAATCATTTTGTCGCCAATTTACAATTTTTGTTTCTATTTTTTTAGTACAACAAAAATTGATGTGTTGTATTTTCTTTTCATTACAACACTTCTTTATTGTATTGATTGCAGAAATGAGAAGTTGACATATGAATTATTCGATTCCATTCTTCTAGTAAATAATTTGATAAGATAAGGCGATAAATTCGAACATTCTGCCACTCATCTTATCCTTCTTCTCTTTTAAATGTCATTTATTTTGCTGTCAAATGATATGAATTTTAAAATAGCCTTTTTCACTGATATGAAATTTTAGCTTTTGAAACAATATGTAATTGATGATTGGATATAAAAAGGAAAATGTGGAAGAATAATTTCCAAAATAAAGTTTTCCAGAATGATAAAATTGTGACAATATGAACATTGAAAATATTGTATGCTAATTAAACTTTTATAAAAAATTATTAAAATATTAATTGCAAAAAATTGTTATAAGTTCAAATGATCGTTGTCATTGCTTTAGTGACAATTGAAATAGTTATTTAAAGTATTGTCGAAACTTATGAAAAGACAATAATTCCAATTATTAAATTATTAGAATGATATAGTATATGGATTATAATCGGTTAAGATTTGATAATAATGGTCGTGCTTCCGGAATTTTACCCAATATTTCAAGCAATGTTTTTGCTTTCAGTGCTGTTTCATCGTTTCCTACAGCGATGCTATTCAAACGTTTGATCAATTCTTGCCTACCCTGAAATAATAGGAAAACTAAATTTGAACATAATACAACATTTATTTGAATTTGATGAATTCAACTTGCAGAAGAAGGTTCATTTCCAGAAATTTGCAAATGCAATGCAGCAGGATTAGTTGTACTTTTAATCGCCTTATTTAAACATTGTTATTTTGCAGTTCGAGAACTCTCGAGTAACTTACCAAGAATTCATATAGGAAATATGGTGATTGAAATATTAATTTACATTCGGTAATTTCTAAAAATTTTAATTGCTTACAGCTAAAAAAGAAAATTAGTTGGTGCTTAAATATTTTCACCTTCGGTGCATAAATGGAGAAATATATAGTGTAGTTTGGATTAGCGAAAGGATCTTGATTCAGTGGTGCGATAACTTCATAAGTTAGAGATAATGCATGCACTGCTGATGACATACATAGTAACCATGTAATTGCGCGCAACAGGATTTCCGGTTTATCCGTATCCAGAATTGACAATAAGCCTGTCACTGTCTACAATATTGAAAGCAAGCCAAAATATTGCCTCGTATTGATTAGACAGAGCAAATGATGCAAATCACCCAACATCCTGATAGGTAAACTGGATTAAATAAAATCATCTTACGATTACTGTTGGGCAATCTCTTCCGTGACAATATCCAGTTAATGCTATTGCCGAAGAATGCAGTCAACTGAATTGGCTACAGTTTTTTCTATCTGGAAAGCATAGGAGAACTACCTTAGCAGCTAAAATATGCGGAACCATGTCCGGACAACATGACAGATTTACCAATAAACGAAGTGAATTGATGTTTGCTTCACCTTTTTCCCAAAGTCTGTAGAAAAAGTCAATGTACATATAGTTTCAGATAAAATTAAGTATAATTTAAGTAATTAAAATTTTTATGTTAAAAAAATCAAAAGCAATTTAATTTAATTATTTGATATTTCAAAATTTTTTATAATTTTTTTAAAAAAAAAAGAAATCAAAAATAATGAAATGGAAATGTAAGCCGTACCTTTTAAGGCAAACAGGTATAGCTGGTAAAATGCTGTCAACTTGCGATCGTGTAATTGTATAAGACAAATTAGTGAGCGCTTGAAATGCAACCGTTCGTTCCATATCTAATGATGAATTCAAACGTTTCACAACAAGCGCAATTGTCTGCTGTAGTATTTCAATATTTTCCCTGCATGTAGCCATGTTTGCGATGCATTGCAATAGCATAACCTGATTTTAGCAAAATTAATAAATAATTTTCGTTTCTTTTTAGCAACATTTTTTTATTCAAAAAATAATTTTGAAATTGGAAAAGTTTATTTAAGAAATTGAAAAAAGATGACAAAAAAAGAATGAAGCATTAAACCTTGGAAGAATTTGGTAAAGCTGCATGACAATTTTTCATCATTGATGCAACTTTTTCAGTTATACCAAATTGGGCAAATAAATACTGTAAAATTATAAAAATTGAATAAATTATTATTATCATTATACTGAATCGAATTATCAAAAGTAATTTCATTCGTTATTAATTGAAAATTTTTGTTAATTATTTGAACAACAAATTTTAAACATAATTTTAATTGTTTATTAAATGATTAAATTAATAATTAACCTGATTTGCAGTATAGGCAGTAGCATTTGAAATGACAGTCAATAGAGGCAAAAGGATATCGGAGGAAATGTCGATGCACTTTAATGCGGTACATAGATATTTTGCTTCTGATGGTGTGATCAATGAACAACAATTCTACAAATAAAATTAAAAATAAGCAAAATTTTCAATTAATTTATTCATTTCGTTCCCAAATAGAACAAAAGAAACCTGTGTTCGATAAAGTTTGTTAATTAATGATTTCAATTCATCGCTTGTTGAAAAGAAATTTGCTGACGGATTAACCGTAATACGCCATTGTGAGGAACTACGTTCATCTTCATCCGGATCTGTTTGTGGCAAACTCTGCAAAAATGAATAATCGTCATCAATTTTCAAAATAGTTGAAATAAACTTAAGGTAATTATTAAAGAAATAATTAGAAGCAGTCTGTAGTTCTTGTTTGCTCTTTTTTTCTATTTAAAAAAAGCAAAATTTCGAAAATTAAAATAATTTCATTTTTATATATCATATTGCTGCTATATCGCAGCTATTATCATTAATTAAAATATCTGTGTGACTTTGAATAATGTGACAAAATTATCTTATGCTGAAAATATCGAAGAATTTCTTGTTTTTTTCATTCGTCAATTGACTATGAGATTAATCTTTCACAATGTGCAAAATCAATATTATGAATTAGGAAAATGAATGAATAGATTGATCAACTAATTAACTAATTAACTATTCGTGTTGATATCTTACAAATTGTATTCTTCTCTACTACACTCATAATTCGCATACTTTTTCCTTTTCTCCTTTTTTTTTCTCACAATTTCTTCCTAAAAATGCGAATATTTTTGAGGAATAAAATTCTTTGAAATTTTAAAATTTTTATGGTAGAAAAAGTCTCGTCGTATAATAAACTTTTTTTTTTTCTTGACACATATCATTCAATTTGACGAATAAATTCTACGACAAAAAGGAAAGGAAAAAGAAAACTAGTTTGTTAAATTAAATATTTAATAGAGATTCAGTAAATACCTGAATTGAGATTCACCGGTTTCTTTTTTTGTTAACGCTTAATTACATATTATAGAAAATATGAAGTTTTTTTCTTAACACTTTATACTTTCTTTTCATCTATTATCACTTGTTGCATTTCGAAATTGAAGTAAATTAATGAATGGAAATTTAGCATAAGCATTTTCTTATTTCAACGATATTACATGTGAATTTTAAAATGTTTGATAGATGTTAAAAAGAAATGAAAGCAATAATGATGTACAAATTTTTTGTAGAAAATATTGTAACACTTTTTTGTGATTTATGCAATGAATTAATTCATATACAAAAATATGTATAATGTAAGCTTTTTTTTTTAGTTAGAAATTAGACAAAATATATTTCATATACAAATGATATAGGTCGACCTGAAATTGAAATTCTTTTATTTTAAAAAAAAAAAAAAGAGAAATTAAGGATGAAAACCTGAAAGTTTCCGAGTCGAGGCGAAGCAATTTCAACAACGAACGCAGATTGCTGCTGACCCATTTAGCAAAACAACTCTATTGATTCCCATCAAAGAGTAATGAGATGGTGGCGAATGTGAAGCATTTATAGGTTTTCAATTTTGCTAGACTCAGTCTGAGCCTAGGCTTTTCCTCCTCTTCTTTTGCTTACGATAGTTATTCACTGATTTTGCTAGTTCCTATTGCAGTAGTAGTGAAAGCGATAGATTGATTTGTCCTAAACCATCTATCTATACACATATATTTCTCCTTCTTCTTGTTCTTCAATTTGCTTTTAAAATACACATAAAAAAAGGGAAAGGAAAAAAGACGCATTTTTGGTTCTTAATAAAAGAATTTGTTTTATTGCATGGAATTTAAATTTAATTGTGGAAAAGAAAAATGGATAGATTGATCAATCGAGGCAAATAAGAGGAAATGAAGGAAAAACCACTTTCGTTTTCATTCGATATTCTTTAGAAGATGGCTAATTGGCAGTCATATTTCACTTTGATAATGAAAATTAGCCAACTATGACTGTGAAACAAAAAAGTCGCCCCAATGTTACTTTGGACTAATTAATGAGGTTGATACTAATAGATAAAATATGATAAAACAAAATATTTTAAGTTATTTCTTTGTCATAAATTTGAACTCATTTTGTTTAAATGCATAAAACTTTCAGATAAATTTTGCAATAGAATTGTAAATTATGCAACTTAATGATAAGAATAGAAAATGATTTTGTCATAATTTGTTGCTGCAATGAACAAATACGTGATTGTATCATAATCAACTTTATTTAGGAAACAATTTAGCAGTATTTGGTAAAGCACTTTTGAGATCTTTGAGGCACTGTTGAGGTTCTAGACTCTGTAAATTAAGTGTTGTAGAAAAGCCCAAGCGTCCTTCACCAATTAAAATTTCCGTATTCTGTGGGTCGATACCACATGACGTTGCCAAACGAATGCCCTCACTATATGTAAGTTCTTCAATTTGCTTCCGCATTTCTGGCCACATCATTTCGGTTATCATTCCTGAAATTCTCATATTGTTACTTCCTTACAAATGACATTATTACATACCTATCTAATAGTGTCATTTGTATGATCAAAACATTATAAGTAGTCGAAAAAAAAAGGTCAGTAGAACACAAAAAAGATTGAAACATGAGAAAATTATGATTTCTCGGTAATCATTGCTATACACAGATGAAATTAAACTTTTGCCTAATATAAGTATAATTTTAATAGCTCTGAAGAATATTAATTCAACTATTATCGATTACCCTAATAACAATAACATTTTATAGCGATAAAAATCAAAACGATCACCTTTTATTAGATCCTGAACAAAAAATGACCAGGAAGGAGGAAAGGCACCACTTTCCATTACCACATTTGTGTCCAATAATTGCACTAATGTCCGCAAAGTACCCGAATCAATAACGGGTCGTAATTCAGCCGTAACAGATAGAAACATGGATACAAATATGGATGTGACGTTTTTATCTGGATTCACCACGCGTAAATTGAGTTTATCACGCCTTTAAAGATAAAAAAGAACATTTAATTTAAAAATAAATGTAAATTGGAAGCTTAAATTAATGTACAATAATGAAGAAGTTTATTTGGAATTAGGTGAAAGCAGAAATTTGACTTCAACTTTCTAAATTCTTTCTTCGAATCATTTTGAAAGTATTAATTAAAAGAACTTACTTTTCCAGGACAACAGTACCGTTTGTAGCTGTCAAAATAGGTGATCCATGAGCCCAAACATTTAGCAAAAAGTAGCAAGAGCTGCAAAGAGTTGAAAGGAATTCTCGAGAAGAAAGAGGTATCACAGGACTTGTTACTGCTATTGTTTCCTCCATCCATTGGAAATTCCAATCAATCTGCAAATAAATTAGATTCAAATTCATTTTTCAAAACAACTTTTTGTTGAAGTTCAGTTGAAGTCACGAAGTGGTTCAATTCAACTTTTAAACATGAATGACAGCAGTTCGTCATTAATCCTACTCTGTAAATTTATCCTCGAAATTGGACTAATTACTTCAATTAAGTGCAGCATTAGTTGCAAGTTCCTTAATTACTTCAATATATAATTTCTTGGAATGCTTTCAATGCAATCACCAATTGCTGGATATTAAACAGTGCAATTTGAAAGAACCTGATTGAGGAAATCATTGACCGCAGTATCGTCAATCCAAGTTATTATCCGATCCTCGTTGTTCCATTTCACACTTACATTTGCATATGAAATTTCATCACTTTCAAACGGATGCTTCCATTTGATTTGTGTTACAATTAAAATATGCTTCTCTTCGACCGTTATTGATGTTAGACGATAGAATAAGGAAGAGTCAGCCGTATTGATAACATCACGAATATGAGCTGGGAGAATCTCACTTAATGATACATTCCTGAATCTTTGAAATTTAAGAAAAAATTTTTTTACGAGTATTGTGCTGATTGTGAAATTGGTTGCAAAAAGACATCCGTATACTTACATGATAACAGGATTTTCGATATTCGAGATGTAGTTGGAAATAGATGGACAAATGAGCTGTTGGAGGTGTGACCGGATCGGATTTGTCGCCATATGTAACAACGTGCCTACCATCCAGTAATTGCTTGATGTAGCATTAACAGTTGTATCGCGCAACGAACATGATAACATTCGGGCATTTTTCTCCTCAATTCGTACGGCTAATTCAATATCACCTGCCTGAAATGATTGACTAGAATTCCGGAAGCAGCAAAAGAAGTAAAACTTGTACTGTTATAATTATATGGTTCAATAAAAGAAATAATAAGTTTGAGAATTGAAGATGGTCAAAATGATAGCAGCACTGATAACGAATGAAAGCAATAAGCAGCAGTTGTGAAATGATATGGCAAACATAAAGCAACTTACATAAACGGCAAGATCGATTGTTTCATCTCCAAAACTAACCGGCCAAATATTTGGAGTAATATTGGATTTGGAATTTATCCGAACACTGCTTGCTTTTAAGCGTATCGTATCCGGATAAAATTTAACGGTAACATTTGAATATGAAATTCGATTGTAAGTTTTAATATAAGCAAGAGGTAGCAGAAGAGGTTCCCGATGTGTCCGGAATGACAAATAAAACGAACGTGGTGAGCTAAGTAATTGATGAGCCGCTTCACGTAGAAGCTGTGAAGCGGCACCGGATCCTATATCAAGTGATACATCGGATGCTGTTATCAATGCATATTGCAAATACAGTAGTTGAACAGAAAAAGCTAAATGAACTGGTAAGAGGTAGCACATGACGTGCACCCCATCTAAGCACCACCACCACTTCCTCCACAACATTAGTCATTGGAAGAACAAGTTCTTGAAGGACATCCCCGATTTTCCCCGTTGTTATTGATGAGTGAGCGAGGAGACACCCACCAAAATACATCCTCCCATTTGGTACATATATGCACATTTATTTTGTATCTTTCCCTTGCTACAGCATCAATTTCATGGCCTTTACGTGTGCCGTTTTCGTACTCTTTCTCATTTACAACATTCTTTCCTCTACACATACACATTTACATCCACTTTTACAGGTAGTTTTCTTCCCATGTCACTTTATCTAATCTCACAAATTCAGTTATTCATCTGTCCTCTGTTGAATTGTTTTATATTTTCAAATATTTTACTCAATAATTTTTTATCATATAATATTTTATTAAATTATTTAAAATTTTGAATTATTAAAAAAAGCACAAAAAAAAGGAAATTCATCTTAAGATCTATTTGTCATCGTCCAGCGCTGTACGAATACGTATTTTACCACGTGCTGTAACATATTTGAACAACATTGGAGCTGAAATATTAAATAAACAATTACCACGTTTATCTATACCAAATGTTAAACAACGTATCAACAATGGTCAAGGACACATTTTACTATCACGTATACGTGTATCACGATATAAGCAAGCTACTCAACATACCATTTCTACATCAGCACCAAATAAAATCACTTGGGTTATGAAAAATTTAAATATGGGGTAAGTTTAAAAATCATATAAATAATCAATGGTATTATCTACTTGAATCAAAATTCATTCTTATGTAGCATTCTAAACTATTAGATGTGAATAAAATGCAAATTTCTCAATGAAATTTATAACTTTCAGGTTAATAGGAAGTTTATCAGGAGAAGTCAATATATTGGTACCGATGAAACTTGAGGGTGAAGCTGAAATATTAGCATATGGTGTTAATTTTCAATTAGAAAGCGCCCTAGAACGATCAGAAACAGGAGCAGCGCAAGTGTCAACAGTTTCTTGTCGTACGAATATTCAATTAATGAATATTGAAATTTATAACGGTGGTATGACTGGAATAGCACTGAATTTATTCAAGGCATTCCTAATTTTAATTTTTTTTTTTTGATCTATAGTTTTGCAATAATTTTTATAATATTTAAATTCTTTTCATAAATTAAGCCTACTTTGCAAAATTTACCAAGTAGCTTTTTTGGTCTTCTAGAAGAAAAAAGGAAGGTAAGTAATCGATATTAGAACTTTTAACAAACTCTAGAGAAATTTGACATATTGAAAAATTCTATTTCTATCGCTTAAAGTCCCATTTTCTTTTTTGTAGGAAGTTTTTACTATAATCTGAAAAGAAATTTCTGAAAATTTATAAGATGAAAAAAATAAATAAATTTACATGTTTATTTTTATTAAAAACTTATATCAAACAATAATAGTCTTTTTATCTTTTGAAATATTTCGAAATAATATATTTCTAAATTTGCATACCTTAAACAAATATATATTAATTTAATTAATAGGAAAAAGGTTAAGTGCTTAATGTTTTTGTTATACTTCTAATTTTTAAATATTTTTTCATTAATTGTGCTAGCTGTACGCATTCATTATTACAAAATTGTTAATTTGATTATATTATGAAAGTTAGTTACATACAACGATTGGCGATATTTTAGAAATTTGCAAACTATATAATTTTATTTTTACTACAAGATAGATAGAGAAACTATATTTCGGATAAATAAAGTTTCAAAAAGATAACAAAGATTTTAGGCCATAAGGTTATAGGTTTACTATAAGTTGTAATTTAAAATGCATCTTACCTATAATAACCTATAATCTTATGACCTTTAACTCTTATGATAAAATTGAGATAAAACCAAAGCGATTTACCATTGTTACTACCACTACCACTGCTACTAGGATTATTACTACTGTCACTACTGTTATACGACTACTAATAATAATAATTATTAATACTGTTTTTTTTAAATATATTTATATATTTACTACTATGATGTTTGAAAAATTATCTAATCACAATTAGCGCTTTAATTAATTTATTCAACTTTATTTATATATTTTTGACTTATATCTATGGCAGTTGAAGCAAATTTCAGCAATTTTTAATTTAACCAAATGCAAGTTTCAATCAAACAAGTTAGGATAAGAAGGGGTCGAAATGGAAAAATCGAGTAAATAGCTTTTTATATATATATATATATTTATGTATATTTATATATTAATATGTACTTGCTTAATTTATTCTTTGATATTTAGTTAAAGTATAAAATTAAGTATACGCTAATTTTATGGATAAATTTTTGAAATCTAATTAAAGTAATCTTCAGCAAGGAATATCGGAGCAAATTCGTTCATTGATTGAAATATTAATTTGCAAAAAAGTAACCGAATTTATTAACGAAGATTTCAATGAGAAATTGCTACAAACTCAAACAAAAACATCGCTAGAAGATGCAACACTTATCAATACCTTCGCTGCAATTGTTGGAATGCCTAACAGTAAAGAATTGATCGAAACCTTTCAAGCATTTAATATTAGTGTTAGTTATCCACTTTTTGAAGTAAGTTTTCCATCATAAATTATTGAAATTTATTTATTTATTTTTCTTTAACTAATGGAAGGACTGTACTTTCATCGGTAGTAATATGTCGATATACTAAATTATTTGAAATTTCCTCTGAAAGATACTCACAATAATAAATTATTAATCCCTTATCTTATGATTAGAATTATTTAAAGCAATCCTTCTTCCTTCTAATCTTTTGCAAAATTATGCTTTCAATAAACTGACATTTGCATTTCAAATTTTCTCGATAGGCAAAGAAAATAAAATGGTAACTTTACGGCACAATTATCTCATAATTCTTCTCTTCACGTTCGAGGTAAATTCCATGGATAATTATGTTTTATAATATTGCAGCAACTAATTTCCAGGATTTATGTTGACTTCAGGTTAGTCAAAAGCTTCCTTGACTTTAAGATGTGTGTATGTCTGTGTGTGTCTGTGTGTCTGTGTCTGTGTCAGCTGATGCATGTGTAAATTATCAATATTGCTTCGCTTTTCATTTTAATTTAGCATTATCCTACCTTTGCTGTGAACAATTTATAAATTTCTCAATTTCACCAAGTATAATTTTGAGGCAAAAAAAGGGAGTGAAAATGACGAAATGTCTCGAAAATTTCGCATCCATAACATGATTATCGGGATAGTTATAACTTTAGTGGTGGATTTCACTTGATAAGTTCAGATAAGGACTAGTTTCTCTGTACTTATACTAACTTCAGGTTAGCTCAATTTTTTTTGCTGTGAAGTATGATGTGTGTGTATGTGTGTGTGTGTGTGTATGTGTGTGTGTGTGTATATATATATATATATATATTTATGTGTGTGCACGCCTATATAAATACGGATGGCTATTGCTTCGCTTTTTCATTTTTAGTTTAGCACACCATGTTGAGAAATAAATGCAAACACTTTAAATTTAATATATTCGTTGAAAGAACTAAAATTTAGAAGTTATGCTTTCTTCTTGATTTTTATATTTTTATAACTTGTCATCATTTTATAGAAATTCGAATGGCCAACTTTTCATATCATAGATCGATCAGTACATATTAATAAATTCTTATTTCAGATTAAATGAAGATCCAATATGTTACAAGAATACTGTAGAAATATCTAATGTGGGCGAAATTTCACTCATGGGAGATACCACGAAAAAAACTCCGTTCAGTGCTGCACCGATGTTTTGGCCGAAAAAATCTACAGAAAGTGCAATGATACACTTACTTATATCCGATTATATTGCCAACGCACTACTTTATCATGCTTTCTCGTAAGCTCACCTTACTTGTATTATATTGGACAAAAGAAATATCTAAGCTGAAATGCGGGATATAATGCAGTGATTCTACAAATAGCAACCAGCAAAATATGGTGATACCCAATGAATTTTTAAAAATTAAAAGTCCAAAATTGAAAAAAGAAAATATTCCACATACTTTTAATGCTATATTAATGATCTTATGCATTTGTATCAGTTTCCTTTTCTTTACTCTAATTAATTTCAAATGTGAGATAGCATAAAACTCCATGCAGATGTATGAAACTAATGTGCAGCAAGAAGTAGACATATTTAAAGAGAAAAAGTTTTACGTCAAAATAAATGAAACATTTTTAACAGAGATTTCTTTAAAATTAATTCACAAGTGAAACCAGATTGCGTTTGATTGCGTGTTGATTGCATGTTGATTGCATGTTGATTGCAACATTATGAATTGCGCCTTTTTCAACCAAGAATTTGTAGGGAACATTTGTTGCGGTTTGTCGTGGACGATCAGACAATTTCATCTTTAAGCCCATTGCTCCGTACCTCCTGCACAACTGGCATTTGTTTAGCTGATTTGATACCCCAGATAGCTGAACAGTATCCAGATAGCAAAGTGCGACTCATTTTCACGCCTACCCGAGCTCCTGTAGTGCTATTTCAAGCGAAACAGGGCGGTTCGTAATCTCTTTTCCCATGTTTTTCATTTATATCCAAAATTTTTATCTTTTTATACCTTACATTTTCCATTAAAATTGCACTTCTTAAAAGGAAGGAAAAAATGAAATTCAAAAGAATCTCTCAAATTCAGATAAAATCCATATTTACAGGTTCATTAATGGTTAATATAAATGGTTTGGTATTCATGTACATTGTAGAATCCAATCAAGCAAGCCGTCAAGCGGCAGCATTTGCTTTGGATATTGTTGCGAACGTACATTTACACGTGGAGGTAAGGTTTCCTAGGATAGATGAGTTAAATGGGTAATCATTAATTGTTTGCTTTTCTCTTCCTTGGCTTATTTGTAGAACAACACATTACTTGGTAAGACATCGGTGGACAGCTTTCGATTGAAGAACAAATATGGATACATTAATATAAGTGATGATGAATTATCCGACGTTGCATTATTAAGTTCCGAAATGCTTCAACATTTCATTAACGATTTTCTACGTGGCGGATTTCCGATACCAATACCCAAAGGTTTTCCCTCAATATTGAATTTGTTGAATGCAGTTATTAGGATAAAACATATGGATTAGCTCTTTGGAATAGCCTCTGCCTTTTCTTTTCATTCCTCAACTTCATTTTTATTGCTCTTCCTGAGATTTGGCAGTATCACCAGCGCTACTACTTGATACAAGCAATTCCTGAACCGCATATCTTAAAGCCATGTTATCAGCTATCAAAATCAATACATTATAGATGGATTTTTTTTTTCACTCTTTTCATTTGAAATAATTCCTAAATAAAAAATTTCAGTTCTACGGATAAACAACACTCAACTACAAATCCTTGATCGGAGTGTTTTCATATCCGCAGACTTCGCTTTAGATCGAAGGCGTGTAAGCAACCTCGCATTAGAAGCATTGGCAAATACCAAATATTTCCCGCGTAATATACGTGCCTGACGGTTGAGTAGACAATATATATACGAGCGATCGTAAAAGTGTAGTTCATTTGATGTAAATACTTTTATTGTTTACAATATACTTTTATTGTTTACAATGATGTATGTGGATAAATTTATACGTTGTACTGTTTCTAACTGCGTAAACTACAAAACATTAATGTTGGCGAAAACATTTTCGTCGCTTAAAAATATGGTATTATTTGAGCAAATAAATCTCTTGTCATATATGAAAATTCCGGTCATTTTAACTTCCTTTCCTATACATCTATCGTTACTGTCCGGTGATTAACAGGTGATAGAACCAGTCTTGATATCTTTCAGCAAAATGAATCTGGAATGATGCACAATTCTCCCAATGTCAACACAACTGAATCCACCCAACTTGCAACCGCTCCATGTCACAAAGTGTCATAAGACAACTAAGCATAATTGATCATTGCGCGATACATTTGATGAAATTACCGGCCAACCGTTCAATACCACCAGTTCAAGTGGATGAAGTTAGATGTGTCAAACACTCAAACACAAGTCGAAGTTTGATGTGTCTAACTTGTGCATTCTGGTGCGTGTAATCTCACTACATTCACCTCCGGAAGAAGCAAATTATACGGTTATTCAAGTTTAAACCATAGATTTTGTCATCGAACAAGTATTTCGTCGAATTCTTTGAATCTCGATCCTGTAGAACTCATCCACCATTTTATGAATTGAATATGTTTGGTATCTGTAATATGTGGGCCTATTCAGTACTGTTTTGTCGTTAAGTGGAGAGCGGTACCAGCCGCTGAAAAGAGGCCATACATGAGTATTAAGAAATGTGTATCCCAAAGTGACGGCGCTCTCAACAATGACACAATGTCCATGGGGATGCACCTCCTCAATTTTGTGTTTTCTCTCTTCGCAGAATGAATTGACTTATGTTTGGAATAATAGCGAGGATAGTATTTAAAAGATATGGAAAAAGAGACATTGTGGATAAAGTTTTCCTAGGATCATAAGGGATTCTATATTTCTTAAATCAAACTTGCAATGTATTTCTCCTGTTTTTACCAACTTTTTTATTTACTTGATCTTTAGTTGAGTGTTTACGTAATCAATCGCTTAGCCTATTGAGGGATTGGACGGATCGATTAATTGAATGGTTCGAGGCCAAATCTTTTTTATCACTACTATTTGTAATCATACATTTCAGTCATTATTTCAGTATAACCAAGTATGAGTTAATTGCAAGGGAAAGGCATAGCGTCATTTCGATCCAGTTGACCTAGGAGCCTCTAACTTGACTTAGAGAGGTCGGATTATCATTTCATATTTCACCGACCCACAATATCCGGAAATTTTCTCCTTTTTAATTTATCAAAAACAAAAATGATATAGATGAGGTTAAATTCCTAGGGAGAGACTCTTATCTTTTACTAGATCCAGTTCTGATGTGTATAATGTGTTATATCTTAGGTCAGTGGACTTAACGACACAAATTTCAGAGGAAAAGAAAGAAATGATTAGGCGTGAAGTGCGGTTACGTCGTGAATATGTTTATCGGAAAAGTTTGGAAGAGAAACAACGGTTAATCGATGAAAAACGACAAATCGTAAAGAAATACGTAAATGAAAACAGACCTATACCGACACATTTGAGAAAAGATGCTATTGACCTACAACAAAATGCTGAGTGGGGAGGTGAGAGTGTAACCATTTCAGTTCTCATCACTTTTTTTTCGAAGATCGGTTAAAATTTAATTAAAGTTTAAAATTTAATTTAATTTAATTGTTAAAATTTAATTGGCTCCAGTATCTTTTGTTTCAACGTCCTGAATTTCCCGATGATTTTTCGGATCAATCTTTCGATTAAAATATGACGTTACATTCTTATCCTTTGCTTTGCAACATTGTTACTATTAGCATTTTCAGGGGGAGTTTCAATCATCGACGATGAATATCGCTACGCTGGTGCGGCTGATCCAAAAGTTGTATTAACAACTAGTCGTGAACCGTCATCTAGGCTTAAAATTTTTTTAAAAGTAAGTATGTTTCTTCTATTCATATTTGAAACCCAATGTTTCACAATTTCTCAGTCTTTGACTTCTTGCTGAAATGCAGTGAGAAGATTATGCAGTAAAAATGTTGATTTTGTCGAATTGAAAATGAGAAATATTATAATATAGGAAATGCGGCTGATGTTTCCAAATGCGCAACGTATCAATCGAGGCCATTATGACATCAAAAAGCTAATACAAGCTTGTAAAGCTAATGATGTAAGTTTCTGTGTTCACCGAATTTAAACTTCTTAGGTATTCGAAACTCCATCATTAGTGTAATCTAAGAAAACTACCATAATTATTAATTTTTACGAATTTTAGAGACAAATCAAGTAGCAAATAAGTTTTCAAAGTTACTGATAAATTTAGTAATAGATATATTGGTCTTCAGTAAAACTAAAATAGTCCGTTCATGATAATCCGTAAAACATTTCCTGTTTAATTTTTGCGCTACAGCGCTTTTGGTATTTCTTTGTTTATTTTTACACAATGTATTTAAGATTACGGATTTCATATTGTTGCATGAAACGCGTGGTAATCCTGACGGAATGATAGTGTGCCATCTGCCTTTTGGACCCACTGCTTATTTTACTTTAGCAAATGTTGTGATGCGGCACGAAGTGCCAGATTGTGAAACCATGTCGGAGGAATATCCACATCTTATATTTGATAGTATTAATTCAGCTCTTGGACGAAGAGTAAGTTAGATTTTTTTGAAGAGACAGACTTTCGGACAATATTTTAATATTGATTATTTTTCACAGATTCATTCTGTCCCTATATATATATATATATATAGTTCTTTCCAGTTAACTACGATATTAAAACATTTGTTTCCCGTACCAAAGATTGACAGTCGACGGGTCATCACTTTTAGCAATACGCAGGATTTTATTAGTTTCCGGCATCACACTTACAGTAAAGATGAACATGGTGAAATAATACTGAAAGAAATTGGTCCGCGATTCGAAATGAGGCGTAAGTTTTTATGTTATGAAATGAAATTATGCATAGGTCTACGATTATAATAGCACTACTGCGAATAACTGCAAGAAGTTGTCGTGAGGAAGGTTACGAAAGGACTGTTATGCATTTCTCAACTCGACGACTGAACGAATGAATGTACAGTGTTTGCGATAGTTTGGTTATAATGCAGTTCCATTTACACTAGGAGTTTTCTGTGCTTTCTATCTTTGTATTATTTTAGCATATTTAATCAAAATGGGTACAATTGACAATGCCGATGCTGAAAGAACAGAATGGGCCCTACGGTCATATACCAATTCAGCCAGAAAGAGGCCTCCTATACTATCAGTACCAGACGAAGACGAGTAGTAGAGAATGATGTTGTTTATTTATTAACGGATTGTTTTTAATTACGTCTTATATATTGTACATATTGTTACCGCTAATGTGCGAACTGTTACATATTTTATAAGTATAAAATATGTTTCGTTTTTGAGGAAATACCATTTTGAAAAACTTTCAGAAGGGCACTATCACGTTTGGGTTATAATACGTTATATGGTGACAGCTTAAAGTCGAACATCACTGTACATGAACTTAGTGGGTGGGGTCAAGATCTTGGTTATCAGATCGTCTTGTTAGTTGATTCGACTTTCTAATCCTTTGTTTTGGTGGTAAGAAGAAAGTGAAAGCAGTTTATATGGATTTTACCTACCATTAATCTGCTGTCAGAAGCTTTTTCTTTGAAATAAATTTAGGCCAGGATCGATTTCTTTCGAACGTCCATTCTTCTGCTAATATGATTCTCGGGATTTCGAGTGGTTTAAGAAGTTTCCCCGTCGCCAAATATTTATTTTTAATTCCAACCTTTCTGCGATATTTTGTCTGCAAAAGGCCCTTTCTTTTTTAGTAACCAGCCTATCCCGATATTATCTATATCAGCTTGGATTAGCTTCAAACTTTTTCTACTACTCACAGACATTGTTTAAGACACAAACTAAACTATGCACTAAAAATAAAGAACATTGCATGATTTTTCATCCTCTTTCTTCAACTAATAAAGTAAGAATCTTCCTTCCATTCCATTCCCACAATAATACATTTATTTATGTGCTGTCACCAAAAGGTAAAATCTATTATCACTCATTGCTATCATCTCATATTTCCTACATCATACTAGTTGTATATTTGATTTCGGTATCGATTTGAATGTAGAAAATGGGATTTGACTTCCACTTGTTGCAAGTTGATCATAGTTAATAAAAAGTTGTAAGGATTTGCCAACAAAATGTAGCAGCAATAAGGAGGAAAAGGGTGTAGCAATAGCAGCAAGAGCGCAGTAGCAATAGCAATGCATAACGTTATAGCACAATGTTTATGAAAGATAAGCAGATAGACGCAATAGGCTCCTATATAATTAATGGTCCAATACTCTTTTTTTCATTAAATGATGGTAGTATTGCTTTTTGAATGGATCGTCGGGAAGCATAGTGTAAGTTTTCGCATCAGAAGAAAGCATAGACAGGCGATAGAAAGAATGAGGAAATGAAATGAGAATGAGATATTGGAAGAGGATTGAGCACGATCTTGGACTTGAACTTCTTTATCTTTATGAACGCTCATTGGTTAGCTTTATAGCGAACTGGATTGTGAGGATAAGGTGGTGGGATATGGTTACATCTTTGTTTGGTGCAAGCACATTACCTGTATTACAATTTGAAGCACCACCTTCATTAACATTCTCGGATCATGTTCCAATTAGCTTCTCTGTTACATTATCAATTAATCAGCCTGTTATTGTTACCGTCAATCTTTTGACAGCCGACTTTCGACCGCATCATCTTATCATTACACCGCAACAACCTATTATTAATATTGCCGAATCTACTACTCATAAGTAAATTCTTTACCAATCAATTTTTCATCCTACCAAACCAAGCAAGCTATTTTTATCAAATGCATTTCGAGATTTCGCTTCAATCACTAACAAGTTTAGAAGTGATAAAAAGCTGGCACATTAAATAATGTAATCTTCCTTTTCGAAATGCAAAAGTAAACGGAAGCCGAAAATTCAACTTCATTTCTCATCAAATTTAATTACTCCATGGTTTGACATCATTTGATGAAGTACTGGTATAAATAGGATTCGGTTGAATATAGAACTGAATGATTATGATTGACATGATACTGTTATAATTAATAATTGATATGTCCTAAGTAAACGTAAATTTTTACTATCTGCACTGGATATCAACGGGTAACATTGTCATTCATAAAATTATATAATTAACAAATAATAGCTCAAGTTTGAAAAAGTATCAGTTGTAACATATCCTAAAATGTTGAAATTCTTTCAACAGTTTTAAGATTTCAATAAAGTACGACAGCATAATAAATGTATCATTCCAGAGGTTAATTTTTAGATTTGAAGACTTATACATTAGAAGACCGGCTCGAACAGTTGAACAGGATCCGATTCAGTCCACAGAAACAAATCAACAGTGTAGTAGTGATATTAAAAAAGTGGATGAAAGGTGGACGGAAGAAGAAGAAAGTATTCGAATAATGGTTGAAGCAGCAGCACCTTGCGCTTCGTCAGTGATTGTTTCCGATATAATGCATCGTAATAGCGGTATGATTTCTTCTCACCTATTTCAACAAATCCTTTAATTAGCTTATTTTTTACTGAAAAAAATGAATCATCGATTTTTATAGCACCGCTTAAAGTGATTGAAGTGAGTCACAGCATTGTGCGGAACGCTAAAGAAACAATATGGTTGTTATTAAACAAACCGGTAATTGATGTTGGCATATTCGTTGATATTGGCAATCGAATGTTACCCGTTGAACGATTGAAAATTTATGATAAAGTAGAAATTTATCCTGTTCAATCAAATAATCCTAATTTTTAACAGAAATCGGAAAAAATTATCGATAAAAATGATTGCTAAAAAAAATATCATCTGGATAGTGATAAAAAAGAGAAAGTTTTAAAATTAAGAAGGCTTGAGTAAAATGGATAAATTATTTCAGCTGGTCATATTTTCTTTACCAACTCTTGCGATTCCGAAGAAGATAGATAGAACATCATCCGCAACAAATAACTTCAAAATATTTTTGAGAAGTGGTCTACAACAGTTGGAACTTCCGGTGCAACTGCATGTCAGGTGACTGAATGCACCATTCGCATAATTCGGATGAAAATATATGATTATAATATAAGTTAACATTATAATCAGTAAATTGTCCATTTGAGCTTCATTGTTAGCACCATAATTTAGTAGTAATGAAAGATTGAGTGGAGGAACTAATATTAAAAAGATGGAAATTATAGAAAGAAAGATGATTTGATTTTTATATCATTTGGAGATCGGATCGATTTTCCACTCTCTTCTACTATCATCCACAGAAGGGTGAATGGAATTCAACTTGTGGAAGGTGAATTATGATTGGGGATGATGAGAGAGGTAGTGAATTCCGTCATACCTCTCGATAACATGATCCCTTTCCTGCTTCCGGATTGAATAACCGTAATCTGATCATTGATCCAGATTTTTTTCAGAAAGAATGTTATGCTAATTATTTCAGTGAGAGAAGTAATATACATGACACAGCAGAAGTTGTGGATAAGGAAGCGTTAATAGCATCGTTGTTTGAATTTGCTGCCGAAGGAGAACCGTTGGCTTTGGTAAAACCATTGATACCGCTTCTTGGTACATTTGACAACGACGGCTGCAAGTCTCTACTTATTTTTCCAGTTTTTAAAAAAATAAATAAGTAAATCCAAAATTCTAGCACTATTTGTTGTGGGTTGTAAATAATACTTGAAAGTTGACAAAAGTAATTCCTGTTACTTGAATTTGACTCAGAACTGAAATCATGTAGTCCAGAACAATTGGGCATAGCATTCTTCCTTTCACTCTTCTGACATCGACATATTTCACGCGTCGTCTTACTTCTTGATACGTACGATGTGTCGTCTCATTTTGATGTGTACGACATGTCTCACTTCGGTAACATCGAAAATTATTACACCAATAACCTAAACAATCTTGATGGCTTCAATAAAATCCTTTTTCATGAAATAAACATAAAATGGAATTTTTTAATCGCTTTGTGAGACAATACGTAAACATGCCGTTGAAAAAGTTGATAAAAGACTGTTAATTTCAGTGCCTTACACGTCGCAGCGCGTAATAAGCAAAATTTTGCACTAAAGACAATGCTATCGGTGCTATGTGAGTGTAGCAATGAAGCGGAACGTCAAAGAATTCTTAATGCACCAAATACTCGCGGACAAACAGCGCTTCATTGCGCGGTACGAGCTGGTGATCCGGATTGCGTACATTATTTAATTAGTGCTGGTGCTAAAAGAAATGTTGTGGATAATAATATGGATACAGTAAGTCCTTTTATAGCTCAAATTTGTTTTTACTAAAAATTTAAAATGTCTTTCATTTAGCATCTCCAAAATTGTAATTAACACATAAACAACATATAAATACATCAAGGGGATCCTCGTTCTTCCAGCGTTAGCTTCTTGTGATCAGAAATATTTTGCCAGTCATTGTGCAGACTCTAATTCCTTTATCCACTGCTGAATCTTTGGGATGAATCTAAGATGGATGTGATAGGCAAGCGGTTTCAATATATTATGACTTTTTGATTTCAATGCCGAACTTTTTTTCAGGTTGCGCATTATCTGGGAGAGGCTTACAACGATGCAATTTATAAAGAGATTTTGGAAACGAGCAGTAATGAGGAAGCAGGAAGTGATGACGGTGATGTCAATAGAGATAATATTTTAGCCAAAAAAAATAGTTCTGGATACACCCCAGCCCATATCGCTGTTAAAAAGCTAAAATTAAGTTTATTAGAAGCACTGATAGAGGCCGGTGCTCCAGTAGATATTCCTGACAATGATGGCAAAACACCGCTCCTGACAGCCCTTCACATGGATGACATTGATGCAGTCTCTTTACTCGCTCAGGTTTACTTTATTTTTCGTGAGGAACCAATGATTGCACATTAAAGAATTTCAATTTTTCTTCCCACACTTCTCTTTTTTGCGTATCAATAATGAAAATTTTCAGCACAATTGTAATGTTAATGTAATGTCGAATAATGGAGACACACCTCTCAAAGTTGCATGTAGGAAGAGGAATCTTGTTATGATCGGACGTCTTCTGGATGCTGGATCAACTACGGATTCTCTAGGAACAGGTTTTCGGATTGCAACATCTTTTTCTGCCATCCAAAAAAAACTTTCATGTTTATTTTGGGGGATCATGGACACGAAAAAAAACTTGCCACGAGTTAAAAAGATTTGATGCAGGTGACGAACGGCCAGTAGAAGCAGATGATGAAGATGTGCAGCGGATTCTAAACGGCGAACGTATTGAAGTATCTAATACATATGAACAAAACGGTCTTGAGGAAGAACAAGAAACCAATGAATTGCAAAGTGAAGAATCGACTAGCACAACAGCAAGCACCGATGCTGCAACTAGTTATCGACTTCGGACACTCAAAGGTTACATATTTATAGATTTATTTCTCTGTACATTCAGCCAGAAGTTACTGCACATACAATACATTTTCAAGCTTGTACAGTTGAACAGAGTTAAGCATAATAAAAAGTTAATTATAAGAGCCCCAGCAAATTAAAGCCACATCTTTACAATTGTACAAATAAACTAAGCTGATCAAAATAATCTGTACTGTCATATTGATAAACATTTAAAAGACATATCTTACCTCTGTACAACAAAAATGAGTCTTCACTACCACAGCGATATTCGTATACAAGAATAAATACACTCAATTTTTATATCAAATTTGTTTGAACTAAAAGAACCAAGGTTTTTGTTATCTCAGACGATGTTTCCTGTTTGGATTATATGACAAGGCTAAGGTTGTCGAAGATACTGGATGTGGAGGACAAATGGACGATATTGGCAGATCATCTTGGCTGTGGACACATGGTAGAGTTCATTCGTGTTTGTCTAGATGATTCTTCCTCACCAACCATGATGCTGCTTGATCAATATGAAGTAAGGTTTTGACAATTTTTTATGAAAGAGAAATTTGGAAATCAAAAGTGCATCTGAAAGGTAATCGTTTTTCCCGAAAAATTATAAAATAAAGTTTGCTATTATGCTCTTTAGAATTACGCATAATGGATCTACGATGAAAAAAAAAAACAGTGACAAATTCTTTACAATTCCACAGGACTTGTTTAACTAACTACTTCTGCTAAAACTTAGTGTCAATTTGCCTGGAACTATTAAAAATGTTTACAGCAAGTTCCAAATGCAAATTTGTCAACTGTAACACAGTCCTTGGAAGATATGGGCGAAATACTTGGGGTACGTTTGATACAGGCTGGAAATGAGCAACAATGAAGGATGTCTAAGCTTGTATTTTTGCTATCACGCATATATTTGAAGCTGTTCAGAAAAAATTTTTCTTATATTTGTAATATGTTTCAAGATGGATTATTGCAGTTATCAACTTGCAAGTAAAAGCTATTTGGGATCTCTTCATCAGGATGCTCGCTCAATTTACTCAACTTAGACAGCAGCTTTAAAACAGAAGCTATTACTCTCTAAAGTAAGGAAAAGTACAAATCTGATGTAATAAACATTTTTAAGAAACTTATAGTCGAAATACTAGATAATACATTGCAAAAGAACATGAATGACTTCCTCGATGAAATGTAACGTTTCGCGATGTAACGAATCAGTGACTGCGAAGATAACGCTGTCGCAAGTAATAATTGTAGGGCATTGTGTCACCTTTTTTCCACTCGGAATAAAGCAACTTGAAAAGGAATAAATGGAATACAATCATTAAAGCACCAAGCATCAGCCAAAATATTAATGGAAGACCGCCCAAACGATGACCATGTTTGTGAAGTGCAATTAATCCGTGCTCATGAGCTGGAACATCCATAACCTAGAACAAACAATTTTGCAAAAGTTTGCTTTAACAACACAAATAATTTCGACCACCTTTCGGTAACACATGATATAAATTTGAGATAATCATAACTACGAAAAAACTTGCACACACTTAAGATAACCAAATGCTTTAAATTCTGTACACTTTTGAATAAATAAAATACTGAGGATGCATGATACACTGATTGCTCATGCAATGTATTTGCCTTCTACTTCTTCATTGACAGTTGAAACAACTAATTTTACTCACTGAGTATTAAAACAAATAAAATTAATCGTTATTAACTATCCAGTTTGCCTTGCTGGCCGATTTTTCGTTGACTATTCCGGGTTTCTGGGAATCCATTTCTTTCTTTCAACAATATTAGTTGAGAAGTTGCAAGAAAAAGCATTACCTCAACTACATGTATTGTTCCTCGCAGCTGCTCGAGATGGTTTTTGTTATGTGAAATATATAAAATCGGAGTAGCTGGTTTAGTTACTTTAACCGGAATATGTACACTTGAGCGTCCGACAGCTATCGGGCGATTTAAGCAGGCTGCATCACATGCAAAAACCTTTAAATTTGGAAGGTGAACATAATAGATGAAATTAAGGAAATCAACGACTTAAACCGTAAAAAATTCCTCTGTGAAGTGAGTAACTGCACACTGAACACAACTTTGCTTGATTTTTAAAAAACTAGAGATATCAGCCGTGAAGCCATTCAATCAGTTTCTTTGATGGTTACAAAATCAAAAAATTAGAAAGATATTTAACCTGCGAATCGGACGAGATCATGAAATAAGGTTGATTGCCACTGCTTAAACGAACACTTATTGAAACCCTTACACCGGGAGAATAAGCTAAATTTTTAACAGTAATTTCTCGCAGTAAATCAGCCGGGTCAATATCTACTTCCAGATGCTCACGCGAAAATCTACAAAAACAGAAACAATTAAGTAAAAGACCTTCCTGAAATTTACATATCATTAACAGGAAAAATGATTGCAGAAAAAATGATCAAGATGCAGAAATTGTTTACAATTGCTTACTTGGATGCAAGGAGGCTGAGAACGAATGCTTCAGCAAGACCGCTAGCGCCAGCTTTCAGAAGTCCAGAACAGCCACGCTTCTCCAACGTTAATAACCAGATGTTCATCGTTTCAATAACTTCATTGATATTATCGGATTTCCTCCACAGACGGGAAGGTACGAGAAGCGTTGAATGTCCTGTATAACACATATCTATTATCTTCATTGATGCTGCTGCTGCCTGAAATAGATTTATATTCAAATAAAAAAAAATGCACATGCCTTGAATGCGAATAATCCTTTCATCCAAAAATAATCCAAGAATAAATGGTGAATTTCATAAAACACTAAGGTTAGCACGCATTATTTAGGACAAAAAATTTTTACATGTGCGCAAAAATCGGTAAAAAATATATATCGCGATATTATGTCTGGTATTCTGTATTCATTCTTGAATAAGAAACAGAGCCAAATTAGAGCCAAATTAAATGACATCTACCTCCTTTTGTTCTTTACTAATTCCAAGTTCCAGTAATGGATCACGCATATTTGACAACAGTACATAACGTGTGGCATTGATTTCATCAGCATTAAGAGCATTTGGAGCCAGAGATTTTGAAATACCAAACGTAATCGTGTTCAGCTAAAAAGCATATACTAATAGCTCAATCAGCAGTCAGTAACGCAAAAATTTCAATATCGGATAGCAGTCTTTTCCATACCTTATGCCAAGCAGTTGAATGTTCATGATATAAAAGGGTTCCATCCAATAAACTGTAATTCGTGAGTTCCTAAAAATACGAAAATATAATATTTGTGTATGGATAGATTAACCTCATAAACGTGTCTTCTGAACATTTTATTACTAAAGACCTATACTTTATAAAATTATATTCAGCCAAAGTCTACCACTTTGTTTCACCTCTGTACTATTTTTCAAAATTCATTTTGTTATACCACCTTAACGACCAAATATCTTTACTTCAAAGCTAAACATTCAGATTATTCAATTGCGACTCTGTGCACAACGTATCTTGATGTCTCTTATGCTCGACAAATTAATGACATCGACTTTTTATATCAACTTATAAATTACGAATTTTAATGACGAATGACTGAGAAATTTTTTAAACTTTTAAAAGAGGATGAATTTTCGGAAAATTCATGTTAAATCAGAAAACCACTTACGAAAAAATGTCAGAACATAATAATGCACCTTGGTAATACCTTCATCCAACAATTTTAACTCATCATCTTTGTTTTTTCCGAGAGTTAGTGGTGAAATATAATTGATGAGGCAGAGGAAGCGTAAAGAAATCTCGTGCTTCTGCTCAACCGTAACAGTTGCGGGAATTTTGGAACATGTGACAGCGGCCAATGTATGTGCCCCATCCGATTCGAAGTAACGCGTATAAACCATACCAGATAAACTTTTACTGAAACAAAATATATTTTGAAAGAATGCATTACAGATACTTGTTGTACGATCACTTTGTCCCATCTGTTCACCTGATCAGAATTTGACTTGACTTATCCAAGTTCTACGTTTTTAATGGTGACTTTTCTGGTAAGCTATGCTACCATTTCGCATACGAAAGGAACTTTTCAGTGCTTTGGCCCATGTCACAATGCAGTGACGTCATTAAACAGTATATCATCATCCAGCAATTTTAACTCATCATATTCGTTTTTTCGGCGGGTAGTGGTGAAGTATAATTGATGAGCAGAGAAAGTGTACAGAAATTTCGTGTTTCTACTAAACGCTTACAGTTGTGGGAATTTTGATGATTGCAAAGTTTAATAGTATAAAATAAATAAACCTCTTTGTTCGCGTCCAATATTTCGAGATTTTTACAGACAACTCGATTTCGACATCACTATTCTGAAAAGAAAATAAAAAATAAATATTGAGAAATAAACAAAGTCAGGATTATTTAAAACTGTTCTATATGTAATGAGTTGCATTTAAATAATTTTTGAATATAACAGAATAAACACCGATGGATTTGTCGCCTGAAGTTCCTGGACCAAGAGATGTGGCCTTCGTCGGTGAGCATAAAAACGTTGCGTAGTACATACACATTGATCCTTCTGCAATAAAAGATTAGTAAAAAGATAAATATATCTTTTGATGTAATCTCATAAAACACCCTCCTGAAACAAAAGATATTAAACATAACTTCAAAAACCAATGATCAAAACCACGTACAATACGATAACATCGCATGATGATGATGGTACCATCACGATAATCATTTATATAACTTTCAGCAAACGATTCTGAATCCTGAATTTTTGCATCAATAACTGGAGAAAAGGCACTTCGTATTGATAAAACTCGAGACGTTTTTAGTCGCAGCTCTCCATCACCACCCATTCCGATAAACCTTAAAGAGCTTTTGTTTAACGAGCTGCTACTATTTAATAAATGATATGCCTAGTTCTTACTAGAATAGTTTCAAACTAATACAACCTCACCAGACTAGTAACTAGCGTGAGCTATTGGTGTATTCCAAAAGTTTAAAAAGTGAAGAAGTATTAATGAATAATAAAATTAACCCATTGCCGGTGAATCCGAACTTTTTGTTGGAAACCGCAACGAAATCCTCGTTTTCGAAAATTTTCCATGCATTTAAACGCTCATTAAGGCATTTTTGGGATTCTGAGACATAAGACGAGGAAGTTAAGGAAGATATGATGAAATAGAGTGAAAGCAGGATGAGAATAGCCGTTAAAGAGACCCGTCTCGGTATGGAAAGTTGCCGTAACCATTTTCTCAGCTCGAAATCATCCAAGCGTCTGCACTGTACTCTTCTCAGAGTTGACAACATCACTAGCTTATTACATCGAACTAACTATATATAATTAACCATATATCTTCTAGACCACTGCTTGCATCACTAAATCCTGAAACTTTAGCATGCATGAGTCGTATTTATCGCTTAATAACAAGCAAACGCTTAACTTGTCATTTCTAAACTATTACTTATCGTATTGAAACTCATTCACGACATTAATTAAATATGATTTTGTAAAATATAATCATACAAATATCAAAACGTGAAGAACGTCGAGAAACGTCAATCAACAACCCGAATGCGACAATCAGTGAATAGATAAAAGAGAGGGAGGAAGACAGAACGTTTCATAGTGACTGCATCAAAATTTCCAGATCGTCATTAATCACCTTATAAACCGAGATGACGATGGTTACCTTGTTGGTCTTCGATATTGGGTGATCTCATTTGGGGTGGGAGATGGCATGGTATAGTTGGAAGTTTATTAGGAAGTCAGCGGATTGTGTCTATTTCAGACTGCCACAGGATGTTTTATCCATGCTATATCGATCTTGGAAAAGCAACCAGAGAGTTGTTCACAAAGGGATACAGTTAGTTTACTGTCATTTCGCTTCACTCATATGATAGCACTGTAAATTTAGCATTTGACGACAACAGATACTCAAAAGATAGTATAGCTTTTGCATGCTAGGTATAAAGTAAAATCTAAGTACAGTCTTTTGTATATTAAATTGTATTTATATTTGATTATATGGAATGGAAGTAAAAGTTTTCATTATTACACTGTTGAAAATTACTATAACTTTCTAATCTATTCAGTGCAGTTTTTTATACCTATTTGTTGATATTGCTTTACATTGTTAATCTTCTATAAGTTTTATATTATATCAGAAGTATGCTGTCTTGCCTTAGTGCTAAGAGAGTTTATGTATTCGGAGCTGTAAGCAGATAAATAAGTTCTTTCTTTAAATGCAGAAGCAACAGGACAAAATCAAGAAGTGCAGGAGAACCGGATTTCTTGGATTTGTTCTGTTGTTTCTGCTCTTGAGTGGTTTTTTTTTTTGCATTCCAGATTTTGGATCCCTGCGAGTTGACTCTTGTTCAAGATCAGGAGAAAATCAGGAAGTCGAATTTTCCACTGCGGCTGTGCACACTACTGCTACAGGAAAACTTGCTGGAAATTTTGACGTCAAATATCGTATACCTTCGTATGGTGAGTGTACTGTAATCTTTGCTTCGTGAGGTGTTCGTGTCACCATGCATAATTGAATATGTATATGGACGTTTTTATCTTCGCTGTGTGTCAACATAATTAGGGCAGATAATTTTGGTATTAAGAGTGATTTTTTAAATATGCAACTTGTTTGTTAGATCATGATCATTTTGATTATTAATTTGGAATCGTTCTGAAGTTTTTGTGCAAAAGTAGGAAATCGGTGTACTCCAGGTGTGGTTCTGACCGAGAAATGGAATACGGAAAATTTATTGGGTACAATTGTCGAAATACAGGATCGCTTTGCGCGTGGTTTAAAACTTACGCTGGATTCATGGTATTCTCCACATAATGGCAAACGATCAGGTCGAGTAAGAGCTGAATGGGTGAACAGGAATATTACGGTGCATTATTTGATTGGTTGACATTAAAGATTTTGTACATGTGCTGCATAAATCTTCCATATGCTTACTTTTCTTAATATTGTAATGCCATCAGTTACCCAAAACATATTCTACCGAAAATTACAGAATAATTAGATGTGATGTTGTTTGTTTTTTTTCTAGTGCAATCTTGATGTTGGTTTGGATACTGGTCCTCAAATCAATTTTTCTGGAGTCACTGGTTTGAATGGGTGGTTGATGGGAGTACATAGCGCATTTGATGCTTCAAGCAGTCAGCTCAAGGTACCAGTAACTAAATACACCTTTGAATATCGTCATTATCAGTAAATTTCTTGGCAGCGCAGTTACTAATTTCTGGTACTATCCTTTATAGTTCTATATAAGTTTAATGTTCGATAAGCGTGAAAGGAATAACAGACTTTTTCAGGGTCTTAGCTTTGCATTTGGAAGAGTGGGAACAGATTATGTTTTGCATTCATATGTGAATGATGCACGAGAATTCGGCGGTTCATTCTACCACAGCGTTGCCCATGTAATTTCGGTTTTTGCTTTTTATGTGAATTTGCTTATGATATATGTAAATTTATGGTGCAGCAATTGACCTAGTCGTTTTGAACGAAAATGAAATTTCTGGAGATGGTAAGCAACAGATTACTTTTTTACAGTGCACTATTTTTTGCATTGCGCAGCGAGCAAACTGCTTTCTAGAGCTAATAATGTGGTGATCAACACAGCGCCGCAGAAAGTTTCGAATGGTGATTTCTTCTTGGTCGATCTCCTTATATCAAAGGAGGGTTTTGTTAGCTGCACCTAATACCATTAAATTCTTAAGAAATCTCAAAATGTTGCACTCGCGACTTCTGAGATCTTGGTGCTTTGCAGAATTTAGAAATTGGCGCTATGTTTAGCTGGGTGACTGGTGAGCCAGGTGCTCGTTTCGGTTTGGCGATGAAGTATTGTCCTACGCAGGATTTAGAATTGAAAGCCAAAGTCGACCACGACTCAAAACTTGCTTTTGCATTTACACATCACCTCTCAAGACGGGTCTGTCTTCAAACAAAATTAATTTAGATGTGTGTCTTTGGGCTAACAACTGTAGCACAGCATGGGGTAGCGCTGTCATCATTATATGTCGAAGCAGATACTGTATACATCCCATTATATACATTTTAGAGAATTTTTTTTTATAATGAAATTTTGCTGTGGAAATGAGGAAGTAACTCTTTCAAATTTTTGCGTTTTTCTTTGATCATTCTTTTTTGTTAGGTTTTAATCATAGATGAAGTGATTACTAAGTAATTATGTAAATTTCAGCTGAAGTTGACGCTTTCGTCACAGTTTGGAATGGCTTCTTTCAGTGAAGGACATAAATATGGAATTGGTGTGAACTTCCATCCATGTTGTTGAGTTTTAGATAAAGCATATCGTATCCTTTCTTAATATATGATGAGTACTTGTTACACGTATAGGAGTCAATCTTTATTGTTTGTAAACTACACATAACGGAAGTTTCTTAGAGGTGATAGAATGTGTCCGAATTAGCGATCATTCATTTAGCGGTGGTGAGTTCGTAATGGTCTTCCCACAAGATTTTATGAAATAACCATTATTATTGTGTGGTTATACTGTTCTCCTGTTCATGCCAGTAAAGTTCTATCTAAATTTTTCGTCATATACCATTCGTTTGCAAGGTTGTGAATTTGAAAATTTATGGAAGAATGACAATTTTATAAATCAGGACAACTTTCAGTATCTAAAGCATAATACCAGCTAGATTTGAAGTTTGTTTTCGTGATATCTATAATTGCTATTGAATTTAAATAGTACTGTATGGTTCGGGAGGTGAATCTTCGTATGCATTGATTTTTTTAGTCAACTGTGGTCTCTAAAAGAGTTCCTTAAACATGAGTTGCTTAAATGTTCATTTGTGTCTCATGAATTTTTTGAAGGAAATAAATCCTGAATTTTCTAAAACGTTTAAAAGAGAGAAAGAAATCTGAGCAATATGTGTAAAAGTTTTGATTTCAGCAGTAGTGTAATAGCGCAGTTAGCATTTTGCACCTCATCAAAATCTTCAGTGTAATAGTAGGGGAATCTCTCTTCTGCTGATCCATCAACAATCTCAGGAGTAATTCTGAACAGTTTTACCATTTGAAATCCAAACTTGTATTGGAAGCTTTTAGGGTAATATTATCAAATTTAAAATACTCTGCATTATCATTGGTGTACATAAACTAGGTCTTCAAAAAAAAAAAGAAAAACAAAATTCCACTGCTGCTTTGAATGAAAGCTGGAAGGTTCTGAGCACTAAATCGTCTTGCAGCTCATGTTAAAACATTTTTTACTGTATGCGCTACGAAAGAACATCCTGTCTGTTCTATACCAATGAAATGAACAACACGGAGATATACTTCGGTTGGATGGTATGAATGAGCGAGGTATTTAAATTTTTTTTTGGTATTTCGGTCAACCAAACTAGCTTTATGATGTGAGCAATGTGTGAAAAGATAAAGAAAAGGGAGAGCAGGTTGCTTGGATAGATAGGATAAATGAATGAGGGAAGAAGATAAGAAGTGGTTCGTAAGACAAGCAACATCCTCAACAATTGCCATCAAAACTTCCCGTTATTTTACTTTGCTCAGACAGACGCGATGAATGTGGTAGCCCTATATCTCACCATTCTATTTCTGGTAACTTCGAGTGTTACTGTCAAAAAGGTATTTGTAAAGTTTCTTCATCATATTCTGTTTATCTAACTTCTAAATGTTTTAGGATTTCTTCTATCATTATCTTTTCCTCACACTTTCCTCAACCTTAATTTTTCTAATTATAATGTATGCTATGAAATTGTAGGAATAAATTTACTACAACTTCTTCCTTTTTCTTTTTTTGATAAAAATTACGGTAATTTTTATGATAAGAAATATTCCGTAATATCAATTAATATTGTTCGAAAATTCATGTGAAAAAATTAAAATTAAATTTGAAAGTTTGAAATGATTTTTAATTGATAAATGCTGTAGTACAAATGATTTTGACGAGATTGCATTTATGGTTACTGTTTGGAAAAAAAGGATGTTGGAATATCGTACCTCCCAGTCTTTGTTGACATCTCAGATAATAAATACCGCGAGTGCTTCGGGTTATATTATTATTCCGAGTATATCCCAAAGCTTTAACTTTTCATCTTGGGGTTTTCTCGGCTCAATGCTAGCATATTTGAAATTCCGAATCTTTGATAAAGAAAAATTTAGCTTGAGTTGATTTTATTCATAATTTCAACTTTAATGCAATCTAAATCTGATATGAATCAACTTAGTAGTTTCATTCAAGAAGAATTCTTTCTCTTTTGTTCTTCTATTAACTTTAAATTTAAGCTAAATTCAAAAAAAGAAAGAAAACAATATTTGTTGTTGATAAGAATGTTTAGAACGCAAAATGATTTCCTAGTTTATCACTTCTTTTCGTGACTGCAAGAGGATAGATAATATTTGGATATCAAAAAAAGGAAATATATTAAAATTTAAATTGCCTAATTTTATGTCGCAAGCATTTTCTGCACTTCGTTATCAACGAAAACTTTCAAAGTGCGCTTAAATATTTTTTAGAAATAGAAAAGTCAATTTTTTCCGGTTTTTTTTTTCTGTGTGGGAGAGATGTTGTAAATTTTATCCTGAAACGTTTATCATTCCTATTAAAAGGGAAGGTTATTTTATTTTTCTTTTTCCAATTCTATAAATAATTAATGAATTTTGCATAATTTTTTAATTAAAAAATTAAAAATTTTTAACTTAATGAAAATTTTTTGATTGAAACATAAAAACTAAAAAGAACGAACTTTTTAACTAATTAATTTAATAGAGAATTTGAAAATTTTTGATAAATTGAATTTTTAGATATAAAGCCAACTAGACATATACGTTAATCGTTTATAAACTACGTAAAATTTACTTTTGAAAAGGTTTAAAACAAAAAAAGAAATTAATATAGCATAGCATAATGTCATTACAAAAATTTTAGTAATATCATTCTAAAAGTTTCATCCTTCTCGGAATTGTTTTAGTGATTTTAATTAGATGAAATTATAATTGATGAAGTTTAATTCGAATTTTTTGTTGCAAAAAAAATTACATATGCTGGCAAAATATCAAAATGAAATAATCTTTTGGGCGAAAATATGATCGGCAAATTAATCAACTGATCGTCGAAAGAGTTTGAACTATACCATACTCTTTTCTTTAGGAAATCAAAGTTGTTTTAGTTCACTAGCTGATTATCCGATGTTGAAATTACTGATCAACTGTTACCTTATACAAACATTGTTTTTGGCTAAAATATTTTTGAATCCTTCTTTTGATACTCTTCCACATATTTCATCATATTCTTCCATTTAAAACATTTCTGAAGCTATTATATAGGAAAAATTTCATAAGAAATTTCAAATTTTAGAAGAAAGGAAATGATTGGGATGAACTAGAAACGTTATTGGAAAATATTGATGAACAGGTCACAGAGTCAACTCAAGATTTCGAACTTGGTTTGTTAATTTTACTCCTTCGAAAAGGTATTCAAAAAACATATGCAAAATTATCGTTCGGATGAAAATAATTGTTAATGAGATTTCTTGCAAACCTTTTTTTGAAATAACTGATCGATGTTCAAAATTATATTGGATGCTTAAAAAAAGTTATAAAAGATATGACTGAAATTTCAATCCAACTTCTTCAACAATTCTCTTCGGAACTTTTCAGTATATCGTATGTACTTCTAAAGTGTCACTGGCAGCAACATCGATGTTGTTTGTTCTTCTTGTTTGTTCTCAATTTACTCAAATTTCGTAGAAAATACTTTGTTACCTAATCTAATTACTGTATTTCTCACTGAAAGAATTCGAATCTGAAAGTTCTAAAACTTAGTCTATTTGGTGCAAAATGAATGACATTGTAGGAAGTAGAAATTGAGAAATTAGGAATAATTAAAAATTTTCGAGTTTCAGTACCATCATCAGTGCAAAAGAATCCTTGTGAAGATCATATGTGTGGATGGGGTAAGGAATGCATTGTTGACAAACAAGGTCAACCAATTTGTGAATGCATTTCGAAATGTCCAATATTGGATAATGATCCACTTGATCAGGTTTCGTTTAAATTTATGTTGAAATTAAAATTTTTAGAATTTAGAACCATGCTAATCATGTAATATTATCGTGTTAATTTGTCCGCAGTATGATATTTGCTTTTCCAGTAGGAATGATCATACTATAAGAAATATCCCGAAGTTATCTTTTTGAAAAAATTCCAAAAATTACGGAAAATTTTTTCAGGAAAGTGATATTTTTAGGTTTGCAGCAATACAAACCAAACATTTTCATCGCTGTGTGAATTATATCGCGAAAGGTGCCTTTGTAAACATAAATTTAAAGAATGCGAAGTTAGTCAATATTTTTAACTTCATTGCATATACGAATTATAAAAGGAAACTTTTTGATTTACCGGATCATGAATTTACGTTTGATTTATCCGATCATGGAGTTATTTATCGTAATATCCTATAACAATGTGACAAACTACTTCATTTTAAAGCGTGCCTGTCTTTTAATATCATGAAATTTCATAAAAATATTGGACTAATGAGTAAGTAGTGATTGTTATTCAGAATAAAGTTAATGCAAAAGTTCACCTGGAATATTTGGGTGCTTGTAAGAAGCTTGAACCATGTACCGATGAATTGATGGTTCAATTTCCAACACGAATGGCTGATTGGCTCTTCCAGGTATATCTAATTAATATCATTCTTATTGAAACGAAATCTTTGTGGAAAATATCTGGAGAAATTATTAGATAAAAATATATATTTACTTACACTAAAAAATGAGTTTACAAAATATTTGCCTACACTAAAGAATGATTTTACAAAAAGAAATTCCAATTCATTGAACCATTTCAGTAGAATTTGTCAAATGAAATTTTATTGGCTTTTGAAAGAAAGATGCAAACAACTTGCTTGACAATTGTTCTTATAGCACTTTTGAAATTAAATTTGACGTGATTTTTCTTATTTGGTCTAAAATTGAAATATTTGCAATTCTTGAAACGATGATAGTTTTAATTTTTGAGGATCAAATACTTGTTGATTAGTTTTTTTGTGTAGGTTGATTGAAAATAATATTTGAACTTTTTTATAATTTTCAGTCATTCATTTCAATTTTGTTTATAATTGAAAACAGCAAATTTTCATAACTTACAATATAATGTAAAGATGAATAAAATAGAGCAAAAGTGCTGGAAGTTGAAAATTAGAAAAAGAAAAATAAAATATAACTATATCTTTCTATAACATTACTCTATTTTCATTTCAATAGTTTTCAATAAACCTGTCGTTTGAAACAAAATTTTGAATAGAAGAAAGAAATTTTAAAGGTAATGCGGGAAATGAAGAAACGACGAGAGTTGCGTGATGTAGAATGGGAAGAACGAATCGAAGAAGCAGAATCTGATGACAAGAAAAAGCATGTCTATGCGGTAATATGGAAATTTTGTGATTTGGATATCAAACCTCATGATAAGTATGTATCACATCATGAACTGATTCCTATCACAGCACCTGTTATTCCCATGGAATCCTGTATCAAACCATTCCTAAAGAATTGTGATGTCAATAATGATGGCAACATTTCTATTAAGGAATGGGGGAAATGTCTTGGCCTTAAGGAAGGTTGGTTTTTTTTTCCACAATATATTATTATATTATCTTAGCAAACATTGAATTATCAATAAATAACCAATCGGTAACATCTTCTGAAACAATAATATAATTAAGAAAGATATAAAATAAATTTGATAAACTTAGTATATCGAAATCAAATTTGCTAATAAAAAGAATTGACGAAAACATACGGTGACTAATAATGAGCAATTGAAATTGTCGATAGCAAGCCAAAGCAATTTAATTAGGAATCAAATTCATTGCAGGTGAAATTCAAGAACGTTGTTAGAATGGAAATTGTGATATTCAAACACTGCCAATGTAACTTTTAATGGATCCTATTTTCTCATTTTTCGTTATAGAAAAAGAATTATAAGCACTGATCATCATTTTATAAGTTTTACTATGCCAATGTCTTATCACACTGAAACAATTTTGAATAAAAAGAGAAAAAGAAAAAGAATTTGAATTTTGATCGTTAGTTAAGGATCAGCTATCCTCTTATCATATATGACATGTAAGTTGTCATCCCTAATTATTTGATTAGAAACAAGAAAGGAAAGGTATGAAAAATAAAGCAGGAAAAGAAAAAAAGTAAACTACACAATATTTTAACCATTTTATTTACACAATTATCATCAGAATGAGCAGAATGAAATAAGTAATAAGCATCATATCTTAAATTCATCAAATTTCATCAATTGCGATAAATTATACATTGTATAAAGGAAAAAATTTTATAATTAAAAAAATTACATTAAACAAATTTGATCATTTTTAGGATCAATTTATATCACAATTTTGGATCAAAGTTCAAGATAAAAAAGGCAGTCTTTTAGCTTATACACAATATAGAGAATCATAGTTGAAGATGCTGTATTTCATAACGAAGTTAATTAATTCTGATGATTTGGAAATTTATGAACTTGATCCAAAGTTAGAAATGAGAAACAAATTGCACCTTTTACGAGATCGATCTAGTTTTAATTTAAAACGTGCATTATAAAAATGAAATTGAAAAAAGTCAGTTTCCAGATGTGCACCTTCAACCGAATATAATTATGCCATCTCCGCTGAATAACCACATATTCCTAATTAAAGCTAACTGGTATCTATTAAATGCACTGAACGACTTCGTGCCTCCAAGAACCATCAGAAGTTTAGTATAATAACATTGTCTATTAAATGTAATTTAGTCTGTAAAGTATCAATTCTTCCAGGAGAAATGAAGTTTAAAGGAGCAGAACTTGAAACACTTTCAGATGAATGAAATTCAAGTCATCCATTCGTTGACCAATTTTAAAATTGGATGCTTTTTGAGAAGGAAAAGCGAGAAGGATAGTAAAGCAAATATAGAGAAGGGTCAGAGATGAGATTTAAATCATTCCTTGACCGATCAAAATTTAATCTTTTCCATGGATAATTGGCAATGTATTCTCTCCGCGTATATTTTTACATCAATCTTTCAGATTATCGTAGCAATTTATGAGATCTTTGAAACGAATCATTTTTAGTTTACCAATCACTGATAATGATAAGTGATAGAAAGTGCCGGATTTCTGAACATTCTATTTTCGAAATAAAATCTTAGGGATGCAAGTAATGATAACATTGCTGGTATCGATTCTAACTAACTTATTAATTTTCTTTTTTAAACAACGGAATTTTTGAAATTTAGATCCTACCATTTTTGAGGAAATTTCAAATTCACAGAAATTAATATTAGAAACATTAAATATCATATTCTAAATAGCATATTTTCCTAGACCCATATTACAAAATTACTGTGGGGTACCGTTCTCGGAGTGCTGCAGTCGATGATGATCAATTTTGCTGTTTCAGGAATTAGCACTATTAAACGAACTGAGTAGAAGTTGGTAATAACGGCATTGGAGGTGGCATATTAGGCTCACGCCAACTTCCCTCATCCACGTGCTTACTACCATTCTTGTCACTTCGTTCTTCCGAACATACGGCTTTTTCGACATCAAATACGGTTAGTTTACCATTACGTTGTAAAAATTTCATCCATAAAGATTCCGTAAGACGAGCGCACACAATGTTCCCGCCATGTGAAGCAATCATCTGGAAATTTCTGCTTTAGAATATTCAATATCGATTAATCAGCTAGTTGACTAATTTCGTCATCCTTGCCAAGAGGTCGATAATTTTGACGGCCAATATTGTGAGCCAACTTTTTAGAATGTCCACATGCTGCACTATCCAGTCTGTGTAGTCGTATCACTATTAGAGGTGTGTTGCACTGAATGAGCAGATGTCCTGTGATTCTTCCTCTGAGTTTGTGACTAATTTACTCAAATTTGAACAACTGTAAACAGAGTATTCAAGTAGGAAAAGTTTAGAGAAGACTACCGACAAATGATCTCGCTTTTTTGAAAGATTCAAGTGTGGAAACAGATTTTTAAATCTGGAAGATCCTCGGTGATAATAAACTCCTCAATTTTTTCCAGGATGAAGTTTCCAAATCAAAAATTAAATATAATCAATAATTCAGAATTATAATTTATTTGGCAAAATTTCCACTTGATAAAAACATACGTGCAGAATGAGTACACCATCGGGACGAAGGAAATGATGTACAAAACGATGAGTCTGATTGGATTCACATTCGAGAAATTTGGTGACAAATGCGTGTCGCCATTTCGCAAGCGATAGTGACAATGTCCAGACAACCATATTTATGGCAGTGCCAAATGAGAGTAATAAAAGCCAAAGCCACAAAAAGAGGAATATCTTTTCTGTTAACATGTTGACAACGAGAACGCATTGCACTGTATGTCGATGTATATTACCCAAAACTCTTATTTCGAAGTCACATAGTGTTACTCGTGGGAAACGTCCCGAATCACGCCATTCTCGACCCTGGAAATATCACATTATATAGTTTGCACTTCTTCAATCACCAAAATGATTCTGTTTCATACACGTTGTTTACATTTATAATGCATTTACAAGATGTAGTTACATTGAAGTTTCGCATCGCGTGAATTCATAAATTTACTATCGTGTCATACTAGTTTAAATATTCCTTAGACGTTGTAGATAAGAAATTGTTATTCGAAACAGAAATTCTGACTAAATTCAGTGATCAACGAAATTTTCATAAAAAATTTTTCTCCAATAAAAGTACTGAAATTCTGAAAAAGTTTACAGAATAATTTTAGTATTAAACTAAAAAAAAAATTGTACCATGATGAGGTCATAGAGAACATGACCACCAAAGAATGGATAATTGGATGTTTCCAAAAAGTTATTAAGCATAATAAATTGTAGAATAACGTTACATAGGTGTAAGCTCTTCACGAATAGATAAACAACGGATACATAAGCTCCGTAGATTTTACCTAACTTTAGCACCGCAAATAGATATACCTGAAATTAGTGTCAAAGTAGAACTGCTAGGGGACATTTTTTTTTCTTTTTGAGATCATTTCCTTTTGCTTAAAAATATGCGTGAAAAATCTTTCGAAAACTTTTCAATTAACCAATAGTGTTTTCCGTTCTATTAAAAGAAAAGCTTTGCATATCGATTACAAATTCCGATGAATTCTGGACTTTGTCAGCAAAAAATAATTTAATCCTTTATCAGTACTGGAAATCAGTAAGATATAGCTGTGAACGATTGAAATTTAATTAGCTTTAACGTATGCCTCTGATATTTGCCAATCTTTTGCGCCACATAAAAAGATATGGTTAATTTCCTTAATCTTTCAAGACATCAGATAAGATGCAATTAAGTGTAGCAATTAGGATTGATTTTTCAGATGAACTGAAGCATCCTTAATAAAAATCATGAATTGATGAGTTTTTCATATTGCTTCATGTATTAAATGCAAATACTCACACTTTTATTTCGACTACCATAATCACGTTGATATTTTAGCGCATCATCAATATGCCTAGTAAGTACTTCAACAGAATGATCTCGTATTAATGGATCGACATTTTGGTCCTGGCTTGCCAATTGTATTACCAATGACATGTTCAATCCTGCAGTTTTACTATCGATTTTCATCAATTGTTTATTTCTAACTTAAGCTATCACATTTGGCTCGGAAATGCTCGAGCATCTCATTCTCCTCCCATTGCTCAATGTAAAAAGTGATAATTTTAATTCTTTGCTCTTTCGCATACATAGAAAAATCCTTGCCTTGCAACCAATATCTTTTTCCAATGAAATAATGACCGCCATTTCCTTATCTTCGTAATGATATTTAAACAACAATAAACAACAGAGAGAAATCGATAATTTGTGGCGTGGGCAAAGTAGAAATTTCCAAAACCAATATCAGCCTCATCAAAAGACATTGATAAAATATGAGAGGTTAGCTTTCAGAATATTACACCAATACTAACTTCTCCGGATCATAGTACTCGCCGTTTAAAGACAAAATTTGAATTATTGCAGTTAGCTGTAGCAGTAACGGCAAACAAACACCACCATTAATAATGTAACAGAGAGAAAATAAAAACAAAAGCGTTTGAACTTTGCTGTTATTTATTAATCATAAAAATTAATTAAGTCATCTATACTTGTTGAAATTGGAATTGGAAAAAGTTTCTACGACAGTGAAAATATTAAAAAGATGATCACCTGACTGTGTACTAAGTATTCGCCAGACAGTTGATGGCATATGAAACATGATAGCTGCAATAGCTAATGCAAATGGAACCCACTGATAATAACCAATTTGTCGGCGCTCTCGATCATCCAAACGATGCGGTATTAAATCCTTTAATAAAATTCCAAGCAACACTTATTTTACGTCTAATATTGGTTAAAATTAAAGTGTTTCTTGGTATTTATTTAAATGTTACCGTTATAGTATCCTATCCTTTTTTTTTAATTACGATAACAATTTGATATTATTATTATTATTATTATTATTATTAT